CTGAAGCAGAAGCCAGTGACAGCCTCAAACAGGTAACCCAGAAGGCAGTAGGCTGCAGCTTTCAGGAGGACACAGTCAAGCTTCTGTCCAGACTTCCCAAAGAAGGCAGCCAATTTAGGGAGCCATTGATGGAGCTTATTACAAAGTTCTTACCCTGTCAGTCTCAGGCTACAAAGGAACACTGAGAAGCTAGTTAAAGTTAGAGTTTCCAGGAAAGGGGAAGAAAAGTGGTTGATGTTTTCTCTCATTTCTCTTTTTGCTACAGAGAGTTTTGGGTAGTTCAGTAAAGAATATACAACTAGCCAAGTCATTTTGGGCATTATGTGGTCCTCTCTCAGTACCTATAAAACAAGATTGTGGCAACATGACAGCCTGTCAGTGGCCAGGTGCTCGCCTACCTGGAGTCCTTGCAGGCCCCTCCCCTAGAGCAGGGATGGAGCCCCAAGAGGGGCACCCCCCTGGGCTTGAGCAGAGGCCTGAGCACCTGGCAGGAACAGGGATGCTCTTCCGGGTCCTGGCAGACCCCCTAGGGACTTCCTTGAATACTTGACCCAGGTATAGGGGAGAACTAGCTTCCAACCCTCAAGAAATCCTGCTCCCTTTCACAATCAGAGCCTTAGCTCTTCTATATGACAAATACAACCTGAGTGTAGGTTCTACTGTGGGAATTTAAGACATTGTGTACCATTCTTCATTTCCCTTAAGGCCGAGGGCGCATGTCACACTTGGAGATGACAGGCAGAGCAGAGAGAATAAGGCACGGAGAGGGCTGCACTGAGGAGAAGAGAAGAGGACAAACAACCCCGTGGGCAAAAGGGGCTCAGGGAGCTGACAGCAAGCCTGACAAAACGGAGCTTAGGATTTAGCCTAGAAACCTCTGTCCAGGAGAGAACATCAGCACCCAGAAACTCGTAAGCCCTGGGTGAAGCGAAGTCAGCTTTTTTAGTGGGCCTGTCACTGATGAGTTCTCCATGATCCTCACCTCTGGGACAGGCAGAGGTGACAAGGACCAAGTGTAGGTCCCAACTGCAGCAGAATTTAGGCACTGGGTCGCGGCAGCCTCTGTACATGAAACATGAAGTCACCGTGTTGTTATTTCCTGTGTGCCTATCTATTACCTGCCATGGGAAGGGAAGTGAAATCTCACTCCACAAAGGACTCCATGGAGTGAGAAAAATCGAAGAGTGTGTGGTGATCCCCGGAGTTTAGGTGCTTGCAGCAGGTGGGCCTTCCGTGGGACACTCAGGTCAGGGCCATGCAGCTGGGTTCCCAAAGGAACCTGGAAGAATACCCGAAAGACAGCCCATTTCGGGCTGGGGCCCCAACAAAAGAAGCTGTGTAACCTAGCCTTTGGGAGTGTAGGTTTGTGACAGATAAGGAGAAAGAATGTACATGGTAGGAAGAAGGTTGGGTTCCTGAGTCGCTGACTTAGAATAAATATCATAGGTTTTATAGAGGAGCTAAACTTTCCTATCTCCAGGTTCGGAAACAAGGTTCAAGGCCTCCATAAACAGAACATTTATAGTTCACATTTCTACTTCTATTTTACTGTCTTAAGGTAAAATGTCAGTAGGAATTGCTGACAGTAGGCGGGTTCAAAGGTATGATAAATTCTCTCAACCGGTACAGCTTTAAAGGAAGACTTGGCTATCTATTTAACAGTAACTTTCCCTTAATTTATAATGAAGCTTAGTAAGAAGGAAAACTTGTTCTATATGTTGTGTCTTCACTAATAACTGTATGTCTCCATTTGTTCCCTTCAGCCACGCATGCCCAGTCTGTGACTGCATCTCATCTTTCCTTCCTCATAGGCGTCCAAGTCCTGAGCATTCCCTTCCTTTCCACCTCTCTCACACTCGGCATTGCTTGTTGGTTCAACCATCCCCCCAGTTCCTTTCTAGACAGCAAAAGGTCCTTCTCCAAAGTGGAAGGGCTTTGTGCCCCATCTTGACCACGGTGGCTTTTCTGCTTTCTGATGTCACTCCTGACGGACGCATTTAGCAAACTTGTTTCTCAGAGAAGTCTGCCCTTCCTCTCTCCAACAACACACACACACACACACACACACACATGCACACGTGCGCGCGTGTGCAATTGTAAAGGCTTCACACTACGTTAAAAGGTTTAAAAAGGCAGGCTTATGGGGCTTGAGAGGAGTTGTGGGAAATGTCTGCTTGTGTGGTAAATGTGTTGTGTATGTGACTCTTCCTTCCCACTGCTGCCCTGGGACGTCCATTTCTGTCCCTCTGTCATCACCTAATTTTTAGCACAGCCCCCTGTAGCTCCCCACTTCCCTTTCATCCAAATCCCCATAGCCACAGCCCAGCGCTGTCCCAGGGGCTGGCGAGAGAGAGCCAAGCCAATCCTCAGCTGGACAGCTTCTACAGGAGCCAGTGCGAGCCTCTTCTTCGTAAGGAGGGAAGTTCTAGGGAACAGGAAGCATTGGGCAGGACTGCAAGGAGAGATTTCAGTGCCTTCGACTCCCTCAGATAGCAGACCTAGAGGGAAATTAGAGGCTATCCTGTCTCTATGGGAACCAAAGATCAAAGATACTAAGCCACTGGCCCAGGGATGTGGCAAGGTGGAGCTGTCTAACCCTGGGCCTGTGTCCTTCAGGCACCTGCTCAGGTGGTCTAGACCACTCATACCACCTCAAACCCACCTGCAGTTACTGCCCCATTTCCTTATAGGTTGGTCATGGTATGACAGGGACAATGGAGAGCAAAGGAGAGACATGCCTGTGCATCCCATTACTGTCACTTCAGGTTATTACCACACCAGCCTACATGCTAAAAGACAAGCGGGGCCAGTAGAGGAAGGCACATGACTAAGAGCCATGCCAAGGCCAGAGCCCATGGGCCTGGGATGCCAGCTGTACAGTCATGTGCCACATAACAAGGTCTTGGTCAACAATGGAGCCCAGATACAAGGGCAATTCCATAAGATTTTATCTCCCAGTGATGTCACAGCCCTCTTAGTTTATGTAAATACACATTGTGTTTGCACAGTGATGAATCTGCTTTGTCAGATGTGCTATCACATGCTTGTACTTCCAGCAGTTTGGGAGGCTGGGGGGGAGATTCACAAGTTCAAGCCCGATGTGGGGGACCCAGCAAGACTGTGCCTCAAAATTTAAAAAATCTTTAAAAAGGGTTTGGGATGTAGTTCAATGTAAAGGCCTTGAGTTCAACCCCTAATACTGCCAAAAAGAGAAAGAAATTGCCAATCCATGGACTTCTCAAAACATGTCCCTGTCATTAATTAATGCGTTCATGACATAGGAAAATAATACCCAGCTGTCAGCAACATTCTGTGCCAACGCTTCTCAGGCAGTCTTGTACCCCCATACTGTTTCTGCAAGGTGACTTTACGATCCACAGTTTACTTACAGGAAGCTCAAGTTCAGAGAGGTAAAGTAACCTGTTCTAGGTCACAAAATTAGTGATTAGCATGGCCAGGATTTGAACTCAAGACTGTTAGACCGAGAACCCCAAGTTGATTTCAAGTACATCCAATGACTATGAATTTTTAATCCAGTGAGATAGCAAATCTGGGTTTTCTATCATCTGAGACAAAAAAGAAAATGTAGTCCTTAACATACAACTGAAGAAAACAAAGTAGGTTCTTAGCAAAGAGAAATATTTTCCTAGCAGGCAACCAGAAAGGGAGTTATTTTATGAAACCATAAGCAAGCAAAATTGAACAAAATCTGTTCATTGCATAAACACAGTTATTCCGATGGGAATCAAGGTGAAACCCTTCCACCCCTGCCATGTTAGCTCTTGTGCTGATCTTTCTAAAGCACGCCTGTGATAATACCACACTCCCACCAGGACATGGGCTCTCCATTGCTTCCATCAGTGCTTTTTAAATCTGTAAAACAGTAATACTATTATTATTATACAGCTGGGGGTGTAGCTCAGTGGTGGAGTGCTTGGCTAGCATGTGTGAGGCCTAGCTTCCTCCCCAGCACCATAACAATAACAGGATGCTTTTATCAGATGAAATCTTACCTGCCATACCAAACAGAAGCAAATCTAGAGACACTAAGGCAGAAGGTACAGAACAGACAGAAGAAGGAGATTCTGGGGGTGCAGGCATTTCTCCTTCTTTGCTTTTTTTTTTTCCTTTTCTTTTTGGTACTGGGAATCAAACCCAGGACCCTGTGCTGCGCCTAAATCCTCAGCCCTTCTTTCTCTTTGCTCCTCTACCTATCCCATAGCCTCAGACTGATTTGTATGAGAAGATTCAAAGCTCTCAGCTTGATATCCAAAGGCCCCCGTGGTCTGCTCCACTGCTATTTAACACTACCCCCCCCCATTTTTCTGAGCCCTGGCTGTCCTCAAATGCTTACACTATAGCAGGGGTGGCGAACCTATGGCACCCATGCCACAGCCAGCTGTGTTATCATTGAAGGCTTTAAAAGGTTCGCCATCACTGCACTATAGTATAATGTACACATCCTAAGCTAAGCATGGTGGGGCATGAGGAAGCTGAGGCCAGAGGATTGTGAGTTTGAGACCAGCCTTGGCAACTCAGTGAGTTCAAAGTCATCCTGGACTACATAGTGAAACTGTCTCAAAAAGAAATCAAAGAAAAAAACCACATCCTAAATTCACCCAGAGTCCACTCTCAGGCCATTCAGCATTCAGTGCTTAGTCTGAATATCTACCCATCTGTCTAAACCTCTGTCTGCCCAGAAGCCTTCACTCACCAGGCCTCTATGTGAAGGTGACCTGTCCCTGTCCCATCTCTCTGGGCCTGGCTATCTGCATCTCCATGACAGCCCTTAGCTCATTCTCTTCCTTTGGAGTTGTCTACACCCACATCTCTTCCTATTCCAGTAAGACTCTGGCCTTTCCACCTTTGGTTACCCTGGAAAATAGAACAGGTGCTCACTAGATACGTGCTGATCGTTCACCTGCCTCTCTGCCTCTCCTAACCTAGAAGGTCTAAGAGTCGCACACTAAGAAAGACACCTGTGGACTTTGTTGATACAGGTCCGCCATGTGCAGCACCAGCGTGTGTGACCTGGAAGATGTCCCCCTGGATGATGATGACCCAGACAGCATAGAATTCAAAATCCTGGCATTCTATGCCAGACACCATGTCTTCAAGAGCTCCCCTGCTGTCAACTCACCCAAGATGCTGAGAAAAAGCTTGTCCCTGCAGCAGGGCGGGGGTTGGCCCGTCGAGTCATGGACACAGGTGTCCCGGCCTTGCAGAGATTCCTCATCCAGCGAGAAGCACATCAACCTGAGCAAGAAAAAGTATTCTCTGAGAGCACTGTTTGGAGTAACGGAGAAGGAGGAAGAGCCACAGAGCTCACCAAGGGAGATCCGTCTTCAGGGCTCAAGACCAGCAGAATGTCAGGGCCATATGCACAGTCAGCAGTGGTCCAGGTCCCTTTCCACTGTGGCACAGCGCCGGGGGAATGAAGGTAGGCTTGGGGAATTCTTTCTCTTCCGCCCCCAAATCTTTCCCATCATTGTGTGCACAGCGGTTCATCTCTCCTGTCCTTTAACGAAAGGCCTTAGACAGGCCACCCATTTGCCTTGGCTTCCCAACTGATTAGTGTTCAGTAACAAGCACCCGCTTTTCTCAAGACTAGGCAGAAAGGAAGCAGGTGGCAGTGAAGGGTGGACTTGGTTTTCTGTTTCCTTGTGTACGCTGGGAGCGTCTGCCCTCCTTTGCTTCTTAAAGTTAATGGAAAGACTAGACAGATACAAAAATACTTTTCGAGATACAAACCACACTGTACTTTTGGTTTTTAACAACTGAGAAGCGGTGACAAAAACTTCCCTTTGGGACAAAACCAGTTGTATCAAAGGTGTTTCAAGAGGGACTTTATCCTATGAGCTGCGCTTCATCCATAACCTCTGCAGAAGCGCCTTCTCTCCCACAGGCCATGCCCGGTACCCACGCTTTAAGGAAAAGCCCCTCCTGCTGGGTTTGATTGGCCTGGTAACTTGCTGATAACCGGTCAACAGGTGGCAGTAATGGTTCAATTTTAGACTGTCCTACTCCTGGTCTTGGAGAATCAGCCCACCCGTGGACAGCTGCAAACCATTCACTTTGATCAGGGAAACGTCCATGCCCATTAGTTGTAGACATTTAGAGCAGGGGGTAGGGGGAGGGGCTTTCCCACAGGTAACAGGAGGCAGCGAGAGCACCACAGGAGGGTGGAAAACGGCCTGGCCCAGGGCAGCACAGTGGGGAGCTGAAACCCAGAGGGGAGAAAGGTCCTCGAAGGAGCTGTTTAACCTTTTCAGGGAGTGTCTGCTCTCCGAACTCGAACTCAGGGTGGCAACATGACTCTAGAGTGAAGGGAGCAGATCCCAGCGTCCTCCCCTCCACCGGGCTCCCAGCGCAGGGACAGCGGGGCCCTCCGGGTGTGTATGGGGTTGGGGGGGCGGTGATGCCTCCGCTCTCAGCAGACAGAATGGCCTGAACAGGCTCTGTTTTGCAGCCTGCCGGGTGGACTTCGCCAGGAGAAAGCAGGTACTTACAGGCCTCCCTCCTGGCTTTTCTGGCATAAATTGACTGCAGTATCGCTTGACCTTTTTTCTAAAACTGTTTAGAAAACGATGGCAGGGGTGGTAGGGGAGGTAAAGAAAGCTAAACTTTATGTGAGATTGAGAATACAAGATTAAATTAAAAACAGGTTAATTTGCTGACTAGTCTCTGAGGCTGAATAACTACATATATAACAATAATTACAGTTATAATTGTATATACACAGTGGACTCGACTTAAGAACTCAATTTGTTCACAAGGGCTAGTTGTAACTCAAGTTGGTTTTAAGTCAAGACTACTTTTCACATAATAATAACAATACCCATCATGCATTCTGAACCTCCCAAAGCACCCCTTAACCTTTGCATAATAAAAAAGTGTTGTATAATGTGTGTAGTTTATCAGAAACATCAATAATTTTCCTAGTGTATTCACCAAAAAGTTATAAAATGTGCCTCGCTTACCAGAAACAACAATTTCATGCTGTACTCACCATTCAAGTTGACATCTTTGGCTTGCAGGAAGGGAGGACAGATGGAAGGTGGTTATTCCTTGGAAAGAGTCCCCTTCCAAAAGAACACCAGGAGTCTGGCTCTCTGGTGTCCTTTCTCTCCTAGGGAGTCTGTAGCCCACTAGGACCTGCTTCTGGCTCACTAGGTCTCAATCTTTTCAGAACTAAAAACTGGTCTAAGGCTGTCTGTTTCTGTATTTTCCTTAACACTGTTTGATAGCATGACGTGACATTGTCATTAGGCAAATGAATGCAGTGATTGGCTTTTTCTCCGTCTAGGTGGGCCTTCTCTGCAAATGTTTGTAGCTGTGTCCATTTTTTGAGGATTTCCTTTATTTCAAAAGAAGAACTTTGCTGCACTGACTGTTGCTACTCCCCCTCCTCTTCAGAAAGCTCCTCAGCCGCCTTTCTCTGTTGTTCACCCAGAAGTTGATGAAGTTCCTCTGTAGACAATTCCTCTGAGTATTCCTCCCCCAGTTCCTCAGCATTACCACTGTCTACCCGCAAACATATGGACTCACTATAGGGACAGTGTCATCAACCACAGGGTCAATGAAGGCTCAGGTTCCTCCACACAACTATCATACAGGCAGATCTCAGTGTCCTTAGAGAGACGTTGGCCCAGGATTTCTCAGTTAACCCCACACACGAGTTATGACCAGCATTTGGGTCATAACTCAAGACTTTGGTTGTAAGTTAAAACTAACTTTCCAGTCGTAACCCAAGTTGTTTGTATGTGCGGCAGGTCATAACACGGTACACACATACACATGTATATACATAGGAAGTGGCCACCTTATACTCTACAGTGGCTCCTGGGACTCTAGCCATCATACATACGTTTTCATCAGGAAGAAAAAGGAAGAGAAGGCCAGAGGGTGACTTCTCTCTACATAATCCAGCTCACTTTTAGAGTATTTTCTTGCAACTGCTCACAACTTCTTCTATACATATATCTCACTTGATATATGTATAAAACCCTCTTTAAAAAGTAGGAATGATTACCTCCGAAGGCTTCCTTATCTTCCTTCTCACATTTCTCATCCCTTTCTTGTTTAACTGGTTAATTATGTGGTTTTAATGGTAATTGTGTTGGTTTTACTTTGGGTGTGACACAAAGGAGCCTTGTAGTCCATTTCTTTGTTGCCATACAATAGCCAGAGTTTAGCAGTTGGTTTCCCATGGGTTCTGCTCATGAAAGGCCATGACTTAGCCTATGCTGTCATTTCCAGGATTCAGATACCAGGCTTAAGTTGGGAACTTCGAGGTTATGATGCAAGACCAAAGTCTATCAGTAAGAGGCTCTAAAACAAAAGGAAATGGATTAACACTAGTCTCAGAGGATACTAACCCAGGTCCTTTTGCTTCTAACCTTGTTTCTCCACAGCCATGATTCACTATATATGAAATGTTAAAGTTAAGATTAGGTTCAGGAAAAAAAAAGATTAGGTGCAGCAAGATACAAGAAATGAGGGGAAGACAGGGGAAGAGGATGGAAAAAAAGAATGAAGATGTGTCATGTACATGTATCAACTCCTCACAAGGAATGTAAACATTATGTATTGCAAACATGTACTAATAAAAATTTTAAAAGATATGATGGAAAATTCAAACAACTATGGCTTAAATAAATACAGGTTTATTTTTGCTGTCCCATATATGAAGGTCAAAGTGTGGTAGGCTAAATCCAATATGGAAGCTCCATGAATTAACAGGGATTCCTAGGAATTCTGCCATCCCTCAGTTAATGGCTTCCAAACTCAGTCACTCTATGCACCCCATATACCTAAAATGATCAGTTGAATAGTTTCCAGTAGACATGGAGGAAAGAGACATGGAGAGACTTTAAGAGAAAGACCAGCAGATATTTATTTGGTAATGAATTTGGGAGATGACTATGGCTAGAAAGCGGGGTATCTCTCTTTCTTCAGTGATGAACCCCCAAGTGTTTGTCAATCTATTGAATGCCCTCCTATGCACACAAGGGACAGCTCTCTGTAGTACAAAGGGCATCCAAAAAAAGAATAAAAACATAATGAGCATTCCCTCAAGCGAAGGACTAAGCACACCCATTTGTTCTTCTTCCCTTGCAAAGGGAAAGGGGGACCCTCACTTTTCAAGATGAGGGTTCAGAAAGGCAATTGTTTCAAGGTGGAAATATTCTTCTGTACACTCCTCCCACATCCCAGCCTCTGCCCAGCAACTGCCAGTCCTTTCTGAAGAACACCCCCACACACACACCCATGCGCACACACTTCTGAGCCACCTCCTCCCATTCTGGGGTGTATTTGTCATTCCAGGCAACAGTGCATACCAATGAGGCAGACACAGTTCTGGGCAGGGCCTCTCAGCATCATTTTGTCTTGTTTCAGCTGTGGACCCCAAAATTGTTTCCATTGCCAACCGAGTGGCTGAGATTGTGTACTCCTGGCCACCACTAGAGGTCCAGGGAAGACGCTTCAAGATCAAGGGTAATTTTACATCACAGAGTTTCCAATTCCAGTTGGAAGGCTTAGAACATAGAGGTGCAACTTCTAAGAAAGGTAAACCTTCCTTCTGAGTGTTTGTGTTGGGTGGAGTGTGTGCAGGCAAAGGAGTCTGGGTATTTGTGTATTTATTCAGCTCAGGGCTCTGCAACTTGGGAGTCTCCGCAAACCTGACCTCAGCACACTGGAGGCAGAGGTCTGGCTGAGACACCAACCCAAGGGATAGGATGCACCAACAGGTTTGCCACACCTACCCCACTCACTGCTAAGTCAATTCTCTCATGGAAGAGGAGAGGGAGCACAAAGCCTGCATTCCACCTTGTCCTGGGGAGAGGAATGCAGTCCTAGACTCAATCATGGTGGTGTTTTTGGTACCAGGGATCGAACTTGGGTCCTTGCGCTTGCACAGCAGGTGGTGAAACCACTGAGCTAAATCCCCGGCCCCTCAATCATGTTATTAATGGTTCTGTACCAGTTTGCACTGGATAGAGTTGGAGCATCAACTCAGGAAATACTGCTTTGGGCTCCTGTGGACCCAAGCTCTGGTGGAGGATGTGAGGCAGAGGCAGCTCCTGGGTTTGCAGAACCCTAAAGGACAAAGCAGAAGTTCGCAGAGGGGCAGCCCTGCCCACCATCTGCTGTAATGTGGAGCCATGAACTGCCACACAGGCTTTGAGTAAGGAGTCAGAGGAGATGAGAGTTTGTGAAAAAGGAAGTGTTGATCCTCTACTGCTATCTCAAGTATGCCTGGGAGATAGGGAGCTGTATCTCAAACCAAGCTAAAGCTAAGGAGCTCTTCTTCTGTGCACTGAGGAATTCGGGCCACTGTCACAACAGCTTTCCCACGGAGAGTCAGCAGCAGATAAAACTACCCACAGCTGCGGAAGCGCGCATTCTCTCTCTCTCTCAAGTAACAGGCACCCCAGGCTGTCCATTTGCCTCTTCCCTTCTTGAGAGTCCACCACTTCCCTGGCTTCCCTTTCCCCCTTATCTGGGACAAACATGTGGACTCATGATTTCAGAGACTGGGCCACAAGTCAGAAATACTGTTCTCTCAGTAAATGGCTTTTCTCCATTTGGAATGTGTTTGTGTAGCAAAGACTATTTTCATCATGGTTAGTTTTTGGCAAGTTGTGAGACACAAAATATCATAATCCACCTCTCCTATTCCAGCATAGACACCGCACACCAACAAGTAGCCATTTTGCAACCTATCCGCCATTTTAGAATTGGCTGTAGGGCCATTTATTAATTAATTTTATGTATTTATATTCCACTTTGTTATACAAGCATAGCCTATAAAGTATAAATTTTGGCCAGATAAAATCAAATCTGAAAGATTATATAAAAAGAAAACAGAAACAGGATGGATTTAGAAATATGTTTAATCCCAAAATGTAGGTCAGGAAGATTATATGCCTTCTTAGATCTGGGCTATAATTTGGCTTTATACTTTGTAGCACCTACCCAAAGACAGAAATATGATCAAATATGGAATTTAAGATGGCAAGGAAAGAATACCATCTACTGAGGAGAAGACTAAAGACCAGAGGGAGGCCTGGGGGCATAGCTCTGTGGTTCAGTGCTTGCCTAGAATGCACAAGGCCCTGGGACCAATACCCTACACTGGAAAAAATAAATAATTAAAAATTAAACTTAAAAAAGAGGGAAATTTCTCCTGAGTATCTTTATAGACAGCATCATATGGAGTGGAAATTATGTGTTCAACAATTCCTACAGTATATAAAGTGATGAATTTCATAGTGAGAATTGGGGGACTGAAAGAAAGGAAGAGAGTATAGAAGAGGAACTGAGGATGAAGCAAAGAAAAGGGAAAAACAGAAAGGAGGGGTCTGTGGAAGGCATAAGTGGTTGTGTCTGATCAGAGCAGGTGAGATTTATGAGCTAACTGGAATGCACAACCCCCCCACACACACACATACACAACCAAGCCATAAACATTGCCACTAGAAAAATTTAAGATTATTTTGTGCTTCTCTTAAAAGAAATAACTGTAATTCCCTCACCCAACAGATGGAGAAGACCCAGTAATCGCCAAAATTGTTGAGCTGCTGAAATATTCAGGGGATCAGTTGGAAATAGAGGTATGAAGCACCTCAGACCTATGTGATTTCTTCCTCTGCCTGCGTTCTAGCACGTGAGAATGGAACTGTACTCCAGGTTGTAACCTTCATATGTTCCAAAGTTCTGGTTTCCACTTAGTCCTAACGTTTATTTCCCTTGGAGTCCACACTCTCCATATTGGCAACATCTTGGAAATGAATCACTTCAGAAAACATTAAGTAAACCTTCTGGAGCCTCCTTGGAATTTCTGGAAACTAGAAAAGTCACTATGTTATTGTAAGAAAAGACGCCAGTAAATTAAAATTTGCTGAATAGGATTATTAATCTTGCTCCACATGTAACTGATCCTCAGTGAAGTTTAGTCTTGAATTAGCCCTGCAGCCTGGATATCTATATGGCTCAGAGGTTGGAGTCCTTTTTGAAACTTCCCTGTAGTTGCTAGACTACTGTCTGCTTTTAGTCTCTCTCAGCAAGTTGGCGGGAGGGCAGGTTAGTGCCACTTGGAGAACTTGTGGACTCCCTGCCATTTAAAAGTTGAAATCTATCCTTCTAATCCAGCATGTGTAAGCGCTGCCTTCAGGTAGAGAGCTGGTGAGCAAATCTCTAGTGTAGTCAGAGGCCTTCTCTTCTTCTGAAAGCCATCTCCTCTGTATCCACTGACCATAGACTGCAGCATTGTCTCTGGGGTCTGTCAGGCAAAGTCTGGCCTATGCACCCTTGTCTTTGTCTTGGTCAGAATCTATGGGGATGAACTCAGGCCTGGGGGCTTCTGCAGCAGGAGCAAACGGCAGGGACTGGTGGGCTGCCCCGCCCAGTCACACATGCTCACGGCTCCTTTGTCAGTGTCTTTGGCAGGAGTATGCCCCAGAAGGGTGACCAGGAGAAGGGCCAGGGAGAAGAGGCGGAATGAGAACCAGGGATATTAGGGCAAAGGAAAGAGAAGGAAATGATGTGAGCTTTGAGCCACAAGCAGGGAGTGGGAGGGGTGGAGAGGAAGCTGGGAATAGAACACAACATGTTATTTTAGGACAATCTTGCATTTCTGCAGAACTAGCACCCTGGATATAGCAGTTAAGGGCAACTGATTTCTCCCCTGGTAAGAATGAACTTCCTGGCACTCAGAGCCACCATCGGGGTCAAAGGCTGCTCCGTGGAAGAGTGATCTGTCTTCCTGTCACTAGAATTACAAATAGATACAAGCAGCCACTCAGTAGTTCAGAACCTGAACTGGGAGTGTGTATGGCAGTGTCCTTTAGGTGGTGGCCTCAGATATTCTTTCCAACCCCGAGGGTCCGCGGCTGTCGCGGCCATCTCCTTCCTGCCTTCCCTAGGCAGTGACTCACAGTGACCAAGTAGAGGTCAGGGAGGCCAGGGCCAGGGGGTGGCGTGACAGTGACCTCTCTGGTCCTGAAGAGTGCTGCTTTCCTTTTCGTCTCACAGATCATCACTCTCAGAACCCTCCCTGTGCCTGAAGCTCTCACTTGTGGTTTTAAGTGGTATTTTACGCTATTTCTTTGGAAACTTTGCTTGGTATTCCTTGTTTACCCAGTAGAGCTCACTGGTAGGAGCCCATGGTAGGTGTGACCTTGTTTGTGGGGGTGATGAGTTCCCACTACATGGTGGGAAAATAACTCCCTCATAGCAGGGCAACTGCAGAGCACCCCTAGAGTGCATGAGCAGGCTGGGAAGCCTATGTTGCACCTCCCAGAGGCCAGAGAGCAAGAGCCACTGAGTGGGAGAGGCAGGGGGAAGGGGTGGGGCGGAGCTCTGCAGAAGGTGTTTCTCTCTGGCCTTTGATTCTTTTATTGTTTTGGCAGAGGCCACACTTCCAACTGCCTGCTAAAGTTTGATCCCAGCTCCTGTGATTGGGCCACAGATGAAGTCTTTTCTTTTTGTTTTGTTTTGTTTCTGCACAGGCTAGGCAAACATTTTCCCACTGAGTTGAAAGAGTCCTTTCTTGGTGTGGAGGAAGCTGGTCAGGCCTGCTCAGAGTTCTAACTCAGACTTGGGCCTCTGCGAGTTAGGAAGTAGGCTTCGTTCAGGCAAAGAACTCCGCTCCCCCAAATCTTCACATAGCATCTCATTCGCCTGCAAATATTCCTGTAGGAAACAATACGTCTGGAAAACCTGCTTAACTCCGAGGACAGAACGAGAAGATTTTCTTTTATATGTTTTATTTTTAATGCTGGGGATTTAGCCCAGGGCCTTGTATATGCTAAGCTAAGCAAGTGCCCTACCATTGAGCTGCAACCTCAGCTCCATAGGATTTCTCAAATAAGCATTTAGTCCCTGCTCACTAAGAAAGGTGTTTTCATGGGACAACCATCACAGTAACAGATATTACAAGGATGCATTTAAATGAGGATGATGAGGATTTATGGCATATGCTGATTTTTCCAAAGATGCAGAGATACTATAGGTTTTGTTTCTCTAAAGGTACTGTTTAGTAGTCCAAAGGGAGGTAAAGCAGAGAGATACCAGGTTCAAGAGGAGGTGGGAAGTGAAATCATTTGGGTAGAATAATGGGAAAGGAATCAATGGATGTGACTTTTTTAAGTGAACATGTCCATGTTGGTCTTCCAGGACACCCCATCCTCCCGCAGAGCCCCTCCCCACATCCAGCACTATTCTAAATGCCTTGTTCAGTTACCCTATGTTATAGGTACTAGCATCGCTGGAGTTTAGAGATGACAAAACTAACTCTGAGAGGGTAGTAACTTCCCCATCATTGCACAAGTAAGAGCTGGGACAGGGTTTTGAGCTAGGGCACTGCTTTTTCCGCTTCAGATCCTGTGCATGACTCTACTTCTAGCAAGTCACTTAGTGCTGGTTTGCAGTTGTAGGTGGATTGTGATCCCTTTGAGTGTACCTGAGTCTTAATCATCCAGTGTCTATCCACTGTTGCGCTCAGGAAATACTTGTTGAATGTTCAGTGAATGGACTGTTACTATTCGATCTTATCACTTATTTGCCCCGATGAAATGAACTCACTGAATAGGTACATGCTTTAGCTTGGTCCTGCAAGATTTTGTGTCATGGCTGAGACTAGAATCCGGGGTCTTTTCTACTGGGTGCTTTAGTGGCCCACATTTGAGCTAAAGAGTAGCTTTCTGTCTGTCTTAGTGGCCCAAGCTGTTCTGAGTGCCTCTCCTTTCCTACACAGTTGAAGAAAGACAAGGACTTGATGAGCAGCTTCCAGGATGGGCTGTCCTACCCTGTTTTCAAGACCATCACAGACCAGTTCCTAAAGGGTGTGGACACCAGAGGAGAATCCGAAGTCAAAGCTCAGGGCTTCAAAGCTGCCCTTGCCATAGATGCCATGGCCAAGCTCACAGCCATTGACAACCACCCAATGAACAGGGTGCTGGGCTTTGGAGCCAAGTACCTAATAGAGAACTTCTCACCCTGGGTCCAGCAACATGGTGGATGGGTAAGTGCATCCTATTTAAAAATAAATCTTCTCCAAACCTAGAAGGGTTGGGATGGGAAGAGGTCCCTCCCCTTTCTTTTCTTTTCCTTTACTTTTTTTTTAGTTGAAGGGATCACATCTGTGAAGGAGTTCTCATGGGTTTAGGACACTGGAGTGGCAAGAGATCTATCCCACTGATGGGAACATATTTTTAGTGATTATCTTTATCACCCATAAATATTTGCTGAGCTCTTTCAGGGTATGTGGGAGCAGAGACACTGGTCAGATATAGCAGGAATTGAGGAGATTCAGGGATATAAAATGTTGACATAGATGTCATTTCTGTTTTCACAAATTCTGCAGGCAGCGGAAGTCTGGTGGTGAGACTGGGCAGGGAGACAGCTCCTCACACTCCCAGCTACTGACTGGGCGTGGGGCTGGTCCTTCACAGAGATTCAGGGTTCACAACACTCTGTCTTTGCTGCTTTGACCCTTTTGATAACAAACTGCAAAACAAGCAGTTAACTTTTCACCTATTTTAAATTCCTTGGTATCAATCAAAACATATTTTCCCCTTATGCCTCAGCCTCAACCCTCCTACATCTTTTATCCCCATTCACTGCAATCTTCTCAAAATTGCCATGTTTAAGTGGATATACAAGGTCAAGCCTTGTCAAAATGCACTACCTCAGAACTTTAAATTCCCAAAGGCCTAGGGTAGGTACTCCCAGGAGGACAGGCCTTTCCCCCACATTATCCTTAGTCCTCTTTCTATAAGAATGATCCAGGAGGGCTGAGGATTTAGCTCAGTGGTGCTGCTGCCTGCCTCGAAAGCGCAAGATCCTGAGTTCAATCCCGGGTACTGGAAAAAAGAAGAAAAAAAAACAAGAATGATCCAGGAGCCAGGGGGAGGCTTGAGCTGGCTCTAGGATGCGACAGTTACCTGGGGAGCTTCAAACAGGCTTGGTTACTTGGGTGTCAGGAGGGCAGCTCCGCTGATCCTCCCTATGGCTGAAGTGCCTGCCATGGTCTTCAATGGCTGCCTAGTCCTCTTTCTTCCTGTTTTCCACTTTTGCACCAGTCGCAATCTTTAAGTGCCTGATTGGAGCCTTAAGTATTAATTTAAGCTGCTTTAACCCATCCTAAAAGGAGAACAGATTCCTTGATAATATGCCAGTTTCCCTCTTCTCCTTCCCAGGGTGCCCTCCAGTCCCTCCTCTGCCCTAAAGCTTTTCTGACCATTCCAGCTGTGGCCTCCCCAGCCTCCGCCTGTAATACTTCAATGTTTGTACCATAATACAGTAATGTAAATCAAATTCCCACCAAACTATGTTTTAAATGTTCATTTTTAAATCATGATTGGTCTTATTAGTGTTTTTTTCCTGCAGAAATGATAAATATCCACTGGGTTTGCAGGCCACCTCTCAAGTCTACTTAACCCACTAACATAGCTGAAATGTCATAAAAGCTCTATTTAAAAACAAACAATATAGCGGTTTTACACCAAAGCACAAACAACAAAAGAAAAGAAATAGAAAACTTGGACTTTAGTTTTGTTCTTCAAAGGATACAACCATCAAGAAAGTGGAAAATCAGGGCTGGAGGTGCAGCTTGGTGTAGAGCACTTGCTGGCATGCCTTAGGTCCTCAGTTCAAGCCCCAGCACAGGAAGAAAAAAGAAACAGAATAGAAACATTGTAAATCATATATTTAGTAAATGATTTATATTCAGAAAATGCAGTGAGCTCTTACAATTCAACAATAAAGAGTAATTTTTTAAATGGGCAATGGTTTTGCATTGCTATTTCTCCAAAGAAGGCAGATAAATGGTCAGTCAATAAGCATATTAAAAAAGATGCTTATGGGCCAGGGATTTAGCTCAGTGGTTCTGGCGCCTGCTTCAAAAGCCCAAGGACCCAAGTTCGATCCCCGGTACCAAACAAAACAAAACAGATGCTTACTACCGTTATGTCAGTAGCAGGGAAGTGCTGGGCAAGGTGGTACGATACTGTAATATCATTTATTTGGGAAGCTCAGGAAATAGGATCACGAGTCTGAGGCCAGCCTGAGCAACTCAGTGAGTAACTGTCTCCAAATGAAAAATAAAGAGGGTTAGGAATGGAACTCAGTGGTAGAGTGCCACTTGGTTTGATCCCTAGTATCACCAAAAAAAAAAAAAAAAGGTAGAGAACTGTAAATTAAAATTTCCATCAAATCTATACACTAGGATGATTAAAAAGACAAAAGACAAGTACTGGTGAAGATGTGGAGAAACTGGAATCCTTCTCATACATAGCTGGCTGGATTGTGAAATGATGCAGTCCTTTTGGAAAACAATTTGGTAGTTCCCCCAAAAGTGACAGTTACAAGGTTCTCCTGGGTTCAATACCCAGCACCATGCAGGGTGTGTATGTGTGTAACCAGTTCCACTCCTGGATGTATAAACAAGAAAACTGAAAACATTATTTTCACACAAAAATTTGTACATAAATATTTAGAACAGTATTCATTATTCATAATAGCCAAGAATAAGAAACAACCAAACTATCAACTGATAAATGATGAATGAATAAATAAAATCAAGTGTATTCATACAGTGGAATGATTCCACCATAGTAATAAAGCACTGATACATATATGAACCTTAAAAACATTACGCTAAGTAAAGTCAGACAAAAAGGACTTATGTTGTTGTATGATTCCATTTATATGAAATGTCCAGGATAGGCAAATTCACAGAAAACAGGGAGTAGGTTAGTGGTTGCCAGGGGCTGGGGAATAAGGGGTTATTTAAGAGTTGCAAAGTTTCATTTTGGAGGAATGAAATGTTCTAAAATCAGGTGATGGTCCTACAACTGTGAGTATACTAAAAGCCACTCAATTATGCATGTTAGAGGGTGAAGTTTATGATAAAATTAAGCTTCAGTATATATAGATGGTGGTTCTAATTCTAGTTATGAAATAAAGGGGACAAAAGAAAATGAATCCAAACACTCTAATTATTTTAATTTGATTGCTGGTGCTATAGAGAAAACCAGATCCACTTAGAGACAATAGATGAGTTCATCAGGAGAATATGAAAGGGGATTTTCAAAGGCTTTAGAAATCGATGGTACTAGTTCTTTATCCTCTGTAGTTTCAGTCCAAACTGTATCATCTCTCCAGGACCTCATAAAGCTGAATCTTAACTCTTGGCCACTGTTAGGTTTCATTTGGAGCATGTAAGTGGAAACTAGGAGAGGGAAAAAAGAATGTGAGAGGAAGGACTAATTTTTCCAAAACAACAGGACAGGAAACAAGGCACTTTCACCAGCCCCTTGGTCTATCTTGGGCTCTGTGTGCTGTTTTTGTAGTCGTGTGGAAGGAGGGAAAACTTGCTGAGTGGAAGCCTATCAGAAACTCAGGGTCCCCAACTATCTCAGTATTTCACATTTTTCAGGCATGCATCTAACCCTCTCAACTCAAGTTCAAATAAATCTGAGGGCAGGATGATGCTCCTTTTGCCTCCTGTTAACCTGCCATATCTCCCAGCACTTTATATATATATATATATCTCACAGATGCTTGGCTCATACTTGTGAAATAGCCAATGAATCAAATGAATGAAGAGCCACTCCATTTCCGTCAATCCAGGTGCTGTGAGGTTCTGATTTGCGCCTAGGCTTTTCCCTCACTGTGTAGCACTGTTCCCATGATTGCCTCGTGGTCCTGCAGCTTCGGCTTTCTACAGCACCCCAAAGGGGCAGGTTTGCAAGCTCCACACTCATCACCCTGCCAGGACCCACTGTTTTATATTTTATATACAACCCCAAAGCTTTCCTCCCCATCTTCAAGAAAAGATCCAGCCTGTCAGTCCTGGACGTGTAACATAAGACCTTCACTAATGTTTTCCTTACAGGCATACCAAGGATGCCAGCTACCTTTCCAGCCCTCCCCCAGCCCCAACACAGACTCTGGGCCTCAGGGCCTCAGGTCATGCTTGGGATAGGAGCAGAGTTACAGACATATGTTTTCACTTCAACAGTGCATCTAACTTGGAATTTTAAGAATTTATTTCTCTTCTCCCCTTTTAGGAAAAAATACTCGGGATATCACTTGAAGAAGTAGACTGAGATATCATCTGGAATACACACTGTCCAGTGATAATTCTGTGTACTTGTGTCTCAGCACAGACTGTGGGGGAAAGGCAAAGGTGCGAGGCAGATGGAGCACCAAGGCTGCTATTGCTGTGTCTCAAGAGGCATCAGAAGCCTTGCTTTTTTCCAGCTCGCGGGACATACTAGCATCGTTTTAACACTGATGTTTTCAGGTCCTCCACGGAGTGCGTGAGGAAATCTAGGAAGATTAGCAGCAATTTTGCTTTTAAATGTTCAGAATGGAAACCATCCTCCTGCCTTTGTTAGCAACGTTAGAGGAAGTATTACCGATGTCTGTTGACCTCATGAGGGTGAAATGATAAACTGAGCCTGTGCTTTCTTTTTTAGTTTCTAGGACTATTTTTTTTTAAATACACTTCAGATGGCCTAATAGAGACATTGTTTCCAGCCTACCTTTAGGAAGATATTATTCTTCGTGTTAGTAGGCAGAGCCTAAAGAAAGCTCTGAAGTTTACTGCTATATCTACTTGTTTGGGAAGTTACAGTGTGTCTACCTTTTTGACCCATTTCTTTGTTCATAGTTTGAAAAACTTCCATTTGGTACAAAACCATGACTCCCATCACCTTCATTTTTCTTCTGCATGACTCATGGCTTCACAAGGTCTCTGGAACTTTATTGTTTTCTGTGGTGGTATAACAATGGGTAGCTGGTAAAATAAATACATCGAAAAACTCCTGTTAAGACAGTGGTTTTCTGGTTAAAATGAATAGTAGGTAATAGTACTAGGGTTTCTCCAGGGATTAATTTACATAAAGTACTCAGAACAGCTCTTGGTACTTAGTGTTAAGTGACTACTGAGTACCCTTGTATGTGCTGCCCTCAGCTAGGGTGAAAGATTTATCTTCCTTCAAAGTAGTTATTGAAATTGATACTGTTCAGAATGAGGTTTTAGTAAGTAAAATACATTCTACAGTGTTTAAGACCCATTTAAAAAAAACTATCAACTTACAGATTCACACATTTCTGGGTTTCTAGCATCCAGCATGTGGCCCAACATAGAACAGGTGCTTAATAAACCTTTGATGAACAAATAAATGAATAAGTCAATCAGACATACTTTCAGGCTCAAGGAAACTTGGACCTATCATAAAATGCTTCATTGGCCTACCTATCCCAATGGATTACTTTTTTTCCCCCACATGAAAGCCATAAATGTTAGAGGTAGAGTCTGCTTACAGATGGAGAAGACCCCTCCCCTTCCCGCTCTGATCCAACCATTCCAAGTTATTTGGAGTTCCCAAAAGTATTCTCTTTCCTTGGAACGTTCTTGCCTGCCAGCCTCCTTTTCCCCTATTCCCACTAATCCAACTAACTCTAGCCCATCTTTCCAAATTGACTCCTTCATTTCCACGATGAATCATTTACTAACTTTCCCTTGGCCATCATGGGGCTATATTTGGATGCGTTTCCCTGTAAGGATGTTCCAAAAGACCCTGTATATAAGCATTATACTTAATGCACAGTACCATAAAAACTGATTTACCTAGTCTTTCCTAATGCTTTGTATGCTCTTTTGTAAGCAAGTATTATATCTAGTTTAACTTTGTATCTCTACTGCCAGGCATATTTCTGGCACACAATTGCAGAGCCATACCCTAGCCTCACTGCTATAGCCTGTAAATCAATGTGACTGGAGTATGGTCCAAGAAACACGTAGTCATAACAAGCTCCCCAAGTGCTTCCAAAATCATCTGCAGCTTCTAGTCAAGATGGAGTGCCAGGAACTGGATTTAATATCCTTGAAACCACTAAGCAAGACAAAATAAATGAAACAAGTTTCAAGCATTCAATATTAGGGAAGGAAGAACTGGTCCTGCACAAATGAGGAAAGAAGTGAGCCCATGATTGCTCTAGAGTATTGCATGTACAGAATTTCCAGGCCTGCTGGAGAGAGGACACCCACACAGGGCTCAGTAGTCTTCCTGAGTAGAGTAGATGAAACTGAAGGTCCAAGAAAGCCACAGCAACCAAGATGAGCAGGAACAACAGAAAAGAGTGGCACATGAAGCTCCGGAGATCTGCAAACAGGTCCTCAGGGCTTCAGATGCATACTGAGCAACAAATGCATATGATGAAATGAAGGAAGGCTTGGAAAGAACCACCTGAAAATATTACAAGGAACATTCTCCAGAGCTTACACAACACCAGGAGTAGTGCCTACTTTAGCAATAGGTTGAATACTCAACAATTTCTCCTTAGAAATGGGGATAAAACTAGTCCTGGACTAAATAAATTCTTCTGGTCTTGCTCAGCAGAGATTAATATCCCAAACTGAAAGTACTAAATTTACCAAGTCATTCATTTCTGCTCCAGACCAAACTCAGTAAGTGTTTTAGGATCACCAAAATATCTAGTACCAGGGCTGGGGCTTTAGTTCAGTGGTTCTGCCACCTGCCTTGCAAGCACAAGGTCCCAAGTTTGATCCTCAGTACCAAAAAGACCCCCAAAAAACCAAAAACACACAAAAACCCCACAAAATATCTAGTACCCAACTTCTGTCTGGCATACAAAAAAAAAAAAATTGTCTGGTATACAATCAAAACAAAGCATGCAAAGAAGCAGGAAAATGTGACCCTATGATGAGAAATGACCCTATGAAAATCATTCTAGAAGTGACACAGCTAATAGTATTATTACAGAAGGACACTAAAACTTACAATTGTATATGTTCAGTAAGCTAGAGAAATAATGGAAGACATGGAGCACACATGTCATAAATACAACTCAAACTTCTAGAGCTGAAATCTGTAATATTTGAGATTAAAATATACTGGGTTGGATTAACAGATGAGACATTGTAGAACAGATAAGAAAACCTGAAGACATAGCAATAGATTAAAAAACTACATAAAAACAGCATAACTTCTAACAGCCTAAGGTATTTGTAAATGGAGTGAAGATTTTCCAGATTTGATGAAGAGGATTAAGCCCACAGAATCAAGAAAATCAGTGAATGTAAAGCGCACACACACAAACACAAAGAAAAATGATGTAGAAAACTACACCAAGGCACACCATAAATTGCTTAAAACCATTAACAGAAAAAAACCCAAAACCCTTAATCAGTGAAAAGGCATATTACACAGAGAAAAATTAAAAATGACACTGTTAGTTACTTTTCTCATTGCTGAGACAAAATACCCAATATCCAAGGTTAAAAGGAAAAAGGTTTATTTAGCTCACAGCTTGTAGAGGCATCAGTCCCTAATCAACTGGTTCCAAGGCAGGGTGGCACATGGCAGAGGGGCAACAGCTCATGGCAGACAGAAGGTAGCAAAGCAACAAGGGAACCTTAACAGGCTACTGGGATTAGGGCGGTGCCAAACTAATTAGTGGACTGATTTAGTAATCACACACTCTTAAACCCAGTGTCACACAATCTAGTTTTCGCCACCTCTGATAAAGCCCTATCACGAGGCCTTGGGGTACATCTAGACCCAAACCATAGCATTCTGCCCCAGCCCCCAAAGACTCACGCACATCCCTTTACACAAAAGGCACTTAGTCCATCTCTAAGAGTTGCCAAAGTCCTAACATTTTTAGCACTGCTGAAAATTCTAAGTCTAAAGTCTGCTCTGAGATTTAAGGCAAACTCAGCTGCAAGCCCTGTACAAATGCAAAGAAAGTCAAACACTTCCAACATGCAATGGCACAAGATAGATATTTCCATTCCAAAAGGTACAAACGGAGGGATACAAAGGAATGGGACCAATGCAAGGCTAAAATCTAGCAGGTCAAATACTAAATCTCACAGTTCTACTTCTAGCATCTCTGGCAATCTGTGGCAAGTTTTGAAATCTTAAGGGCTTGGGTGGCTCCACCCCTATGGCACTGCTGGTGGTGGTAGTTCCCATGGCTTCTCTCTGGGCCCAGCTTTGCTCCCTCCTTGCAGTTTTGTTTGGATGGTCCATGTTCTTGGCTTCTCTAAACTTTGAGGTCTCTACTGTACCTTTGGCTTCACACTCACAGCTTCACCCACTGCCCTCTCAGGGGCACACTGCCTGGCCTTCTGGCCGCCTCCTGAAATCTGGGTGGAAGCCTTCCTGACCCCACAACTCTTGAATTCTGTATGTGCCTAAAACCAGCACCATGTGGATAACGCCAAGGTCTGCTGCCAGCTGAGTAATAACCAGGCTCTTTTCTCTCTTAGCTATGGGGGTCCAGTGTCTGTGAACCAAATCATCAGGAACAACTTCCCTAGGCTGCTGCCATTCTAGAACATGGTGCTCTGGGACTCCCTTCTCAAAGCGAAGTCTTTCATTTTTAAAAATTCGAGGCTCCAAAGGGTGGAGTCCTGTTGCTTCTTGTGATGCTTTTAGGCCATCTTCTATTTTCTTGTTCCTTCTCACCAATCAAGATCTCTGTTTTATCTTTGCAGGCTGCAACTTTACTGGAACTTCTTTTTTGGCCAAACTCAAAACATTTTAAATCATTTTGCTGGGCTCTTTGGTCTTCATTCTCAACATAAATCTGGATAAAAGCACTCAGCAGTAGCCATGCCATGGTCTCAACATTAGAATGCCTTGAAATTTTTTCTGCCAGATTAATTAGTCTACTGCCCTTAATCTCAGTCTCAGGGACAGCCTCTGGACAAGAGCAAAATGCAGACAAACTTTCTGCCCAGGTATAACACACATCATCTCAAGCCTAACTGCCAGTGCAGTCTTTCTTTCCCCAGAAACCTTCCGAGCCTGGTCTTTACTGGCAGGATTTCTATCAGCCTCCTGGTCTTTTGAGCTCTGACCAGAATCATTCATACAGTACAGCCTATTCCAGCTCTACTTTTTTAGCTGGTATCTTTAAACCTTTTTAAACTCTTCCCAAAAGCCATTCCCAAAAGCTCCTGAACCACATGGTCAGGTATAGTCACAGCAACAACCTCACTCTCAGTACCAAATTTCTGTGTTAGTTTTCTTGTTACTGAGACAACAAAACCAACATCCAAGGATAAAGGGGGAAAGGTTTATTTAGCTCCCAGTTTGTAGAGGTTTAGTCCATAATTGGCTGGCTCACAATGGCCACAAAAGAACCTTAACAGTGTCTTTTTACTCCTTTTATCCAGACTACAGGGATTAGGTTAGTGCCAAACCAATTAGTAAACTGATTTAATAATCACACACCCTTAATCCTAGTGTCACACACTCTAAATTTAGCCCTATGACCTCATGAGGCTTTGGAGAGACATCTAGACACAAACCATAACAGATGCCAAACTTCTTGGTAAACTATATAAGATAGAAAAAAGTAGAGTTACCTCTCAAGTATTAAATAAAACTGTAAACATAACCCTATACCAGAAAACCTATACCATAACCCTGTATCAGGAAACAGATGACTTTAAAATGAAGGTAAAATAGGATTTTTTTGAGATGCACAAAACTTAAAAATAATTCCTAACCAGCATACCTGGACTACAATAAATATTACAGGTAGAAGCCAAATTGTACCAAATAGAAATCTGGATATATAGAAAAAAGGGAAAGCATTGGAAGTGAAAAATATGTGAGTAAATATAAGATCCCTTTTCTTATTTAAAAAATAATACACATTTTTTTGTGGTACTGGGAATTGAACCCAGGGCCTTCACACTGAACTATATCCTAGCCCTTTTAAATTTTTTTTTTAGTTTGAGACAGTCTCAGTTGCTAAGTTACCCAGGCTGGGTTTGAACTTGCGATCCTCCTATCTCAGCCTCCCAGAGTCCTGGGATTACAGGTGTGTGCCACCATGCCCAGAATGATGTACTATTTAAAGAAAAAAAAAATTGTGGTCAGGTTTATAACATGCATAGAATAAAGTGTATATCCATGATAGTACAGAGGATAAATCTTGGAAGCAGCCTATTTGTCCATGAACAGGTAAATGGATAAAGAAAATGTGGTACATTTAATGGAGTACAACTTTTCTCTACCCCTCCTAGATTCTTGGCTGCGGTCCTTGTAACAAAAGACCGATTAATAAGGGAAAACTATCCAACTTTAGTGTTTCATGTGACATGGCAATCTTTGTAAATAAAATGAAGACCCACAGAAGCAGATAACTATTAGTATTTTATAAAAGGTTTGATGATGAGTGCAGAAATGTGATAGGGTAAAAAGGGTCTGATCTAATGTTAATAAACTGGGGAAACTTACCAAAACCTTTTAGTTTAGATTCTTTTCTGTGACCCTTCATCTTCAGAGATGGGGATGTTCTTTTCTTCTACTTCAGGGTAAGATCAGAAAATCTTTCCTAGGCTTCCTGACCTTGCTTTGAGGGAGACAAGAGGGGGTCCGAAAGCCGATCTGCTTCCAGTTTCCTCAAATCCCTCTCAGCTTATTTAGCAGGCCAAGGTGCCATCCTTGGGGCTAATGTGTTCTGAGCTCCATCAGAAAAGTCACAAATTATTGATGTCAGAAGTGAAGACATTAAAAGGATAAGGGACACACTTTATGTTGATAATGCTTTAGATAAAATGAATAAATATCTTGAAAAACATGAATGACTAAAATTGACGTAAGAAACTGGGCATAGTGAAGCATGCCTGTAACCCCACTCTGAGAGGCTGAGGCCGGAGAATCACAAGTTCAAGCTCAGCCTGGGCAACTCAGCATCTTGTTGAGACTGTCTCAAAATAAAAGGCTGGGGATGTAGCTCAGTAGCTCAATACAAAGAAAGAAAAACAGAAGAAAAGGAAAGAAGGAAGAAAAGGAAGAGGAAAGAAAACAAAAGGGATATATGAATAGGTCTAGACCTATTAGAAAAACTGAGTTATTAAAAACCTTCCATTATACATCTCTGCAGTTAAGAAACACAGCACTGCAAAGACTTGGGGTCTAATCCTTTCCTTCCCATGGACTCCCGCAGAAAAAAATTCTATCATCTGGACAAAACATGGTACTTCAAGGTTACACAACTGAGGGTAGTGAAGGAGGCTTTGGAAGGATGACCAGAAGTCACTCTCTCAAGGTAATCACTTCTGCCTGCTCACACAGCTTGAAATTCCTTGGGGAAGGACAGCAAGGGCCTGGGGACAGTAAGTATTGGACAGGCATCCATCTGCATGGACTGGGGTACCACAGGAGTGGACTCCAGCAAACCCTACTTTGTAATACTATGCATTGCCTTGAATGCTGTATGTGTAAACACCTCTCTGGAACAGAGAGAAAACTGCTCTACAATATGATTTGGATATTTATGGGTATGGATTTATTTACAGATATGGATAAATATATCCATATCCAGACATGCCTTGACAACTATTCAGCATATGACAGTAGAATCTATGTTCTTTTCTACACCCACCACTGCCAACATGTTTCTGATCAAGTTTGCACTGGAGGGGGTAAAATTAAGAAATGTCATGTACATGTACCAACTCCCCAGGATGAATATAATCATTATATACTGCAAACATGTGCCAATAAAAATAAATAAATAAAAAGCAGCTGTCTGAAGGAAAAGTGCACTGGAGCTCTTCATACTCAAATCAGGTATTTCCTGACAAGTTTGGTCATTAGTCGACTGCTTGGGGGAGCAGCAATGAGATAGCCCAGGCCAAACATTGATAAAATTATGCTTTACTTTAGCCTCTTTATTTTGGAAGATTGTTCTATTATGATTAAATTTGAATTTGCAAATGTAAATCTCAAGTAGAAAATTTTCCATGAAGGGGAAAAGGTCGATACAGATTGCATAATGGTGTAAGTGATGCAACCTGAGATTTGAGCACCGTAATTCATCATTTGAATTAAATTTACAGAAACAAGGCGGCCACACTTCAGAGTTAACATGAGAAGGACTATGTAACTTCCCTGGAAACCTATTTGGGGAAAGAAAGACCCAAAACCAGTCACAAGGTTGCCTCTCCCCTCCCCTTTTCCTGTGGTACTAGGGTTGAACCTAGGGTTTTCACACATGCAGGGCAAGCACTCTATTACTGAGCTACATCTCCAGCCTTTTTATATTGAGACAGGGTCTTGCTAAGTTGCCCAGACTGGCCTGGAACTTAAGATCCTCCTGCCTCAGCCTCCTGAGCAGCTGGGATCATCAGCATGCCCAGCTCCATTTTTTAGACCTTTAATTCAGGCAAACCATAGTTCTTCCTTTCCTTTCTTTGATTTAACCAGGAATGGCATGACCTGTAGGATTATTCCCTCCGGGGGAAAGAATGGGAGGAGTTGGCAAGGATGAAGGTAAGCTTACTGAAGGGGTCCTGCTAAGGAAGTGATTTCCACTTACCCACTGGACATTCTGAGTTCTACTACTGCACCAACAAAGCTGCTTACCTCCCTCCTTAGCAGAGCAGTACACTCAATGCAGGCTGGGCCTGCGACTTCAGTACTCACCCTCATGGAAGAAGCATCAACAACACACTGGGTTCTACAGCAGGAAGACCAAGGTTCATTTTACAAACTAGTTTGGGGGGCAGGAAGGGGGTGTTGCTCAGAGTCCGCATCAGGACTCCCAAGAGCAGCCCGTTTTCTCATTCTCCATCACAGGGATCCCCAGTGAGGAAGTGGGCCACAGCCCCGCCCTTCCCCAGTCTCCTAGGGCAGCATTTACTTGAAATGTAAATAAAGCTGTTTACACTACAATCTGTATCAAGGCAAAGCACACACAAATACTATTTTAATTTCTTGCTGAAAAGAAATGACACTTTTATTTTTTCACTGTTTTATTATAAAAATCAACATTTCATTTGTTACAATTCAGCTTATTGTCATAATCAAAAAAGGGATTTATACAAGGTATTTTTATACAGTTATAATTAAAGCACTTATTTTACAAAAGGGGAAAGTGAGTAAGTGGACAGGGGCTGACCAAATGTTGGCCATTATAATATAAATACATCCTTGCAAAGCACCATCGTACCAAAGTCGATGAACAGAAACACCAGTTGACTTTAAGACAATGACGAAGATTAAAGCTTAAGAAAAAATTTAAAAACATAAAGGATAAACATCTGAAAGCAGCACCAGATCCTTCACTTGCAAGTAAGGCTAGTCCAGTTTAGGCTTCATGGTATCCTCTTTCTCTCAAATTTTCAATAACCCAGATACTTAACTTCATATAACACTGGATTGAATCAGACTTTTCCTTTATATTCCTTTTAATACCCCATATTTAGGGATTGATGTAAATAGATACATGTCTCTCCATCGATTAGTATCTCTATCCCTTGATACACTGAATTAAAAAACAAAACCACTCAAATGGACAGTTAAGCAAAAGCATGTTGTTTATAATTCTTTGGTGTTAACTTCTGGGGAAACTCTAGGTGGTGGTGGCCAACACACTGGCTAGTTAAGTCTATATTACACTTCTGAGTATAAGAAATCACTGAGTGTATAATTCTTTCTATAAAGTCATGAAGATATTTTTCAGCAATAAAGCTAAGAATGACAAAAATTTCTTATGAAAGAGAAAATGGTACATTTTACTTCAATAACGGAAAGTGAAGGTAGAGTCACCAATTTGATTCTCATGTCATTAAGATAAACCTACAAATCTACCTCCCTTCCACTCAGGTCCAGGCTTAATCTAATGAGATATTCGATCAAGTCAAAGAGAAATACCCTGAGGATATGGGCTCACAATGCCTATCATTTAAAAAACAAAATTTTTTTTTTGTACCTCGGATTGAACTCTGGACCCTTGGGCTTGTGAGCCAGGCAACGGAACCACTGAGCTAGCCAGCCCCATCATTTTAATTTTTAAAAAAATTATAAATGTACAATTTTTATGGTGAGGGCCAATGTCCTTTACTCTAAAACTTTACTCTTAAAAAGCCAAATTTTGAGAGAGAATGATGCCATTCCAGAAGTCAGAAATCACACATAAGCTACTAGTAGTTTCTCAAGTCATAGTATTTCTCTTGGCCTATTTTAGGCTTGAGGTAAGGAAAGAACACAAAATAAAATTAAATTTCTTGAGTTTAAGAAATCACAGGCACATGCTTGTAATCCTAGCACTCTGGGAGGCTGAGGCAGGTGGATCACAAGGTGAAAACAAAAATCTAATAATATTTTAAAATCCTGATTATAAACTTTAGGACTCAGTCCATGTCTATGCTTAGTACACAGGTACAGTCTCATGTGTGGATCTCAATTATTAGCTGACCAATATCCACACACCCATATCCAATGCTCCAGACAAACCATATACATGTAGACAAGCACTGCAAAATCGTATTTGGGGGTGTGAAAAGTCCAAAATTTTTTGTTTCTGAATATTGCAAAATAGATGCTATTTTTACAACTTAAATATTGAATGAGTTGCCATTATACAAAGTATTGAGTTTAAGTTATTTTAAAATGATGAACAAATAAAACCCTAAATTATCTTAAAATTATACTGCTCAAACAACCCTCCCCAGCCAGGTGTGTGGCATTGTATACCATAATCCCAGCATGCAGGAGACTGAGGCAAGAGAATTCCAAGTCTGAGGACAGCCTGGGCTACATGATGAGTTCGAGGTCAGCTTGAGCTACATAAAAAGGCTCTGTCTCAAAAAACAAAAACCTAAACAAAACAAAAACTTCCCCCCAAATTACTGGCCTACATTAGATGAAGATGTACTTTAATTGAAGCCTTCATTTCTAAATAATCTATTGTTCTTTTTCTCAAACCTGTTAAAGGTGTTTTTATATTACAATTAAAATAACTATACTTTTTGGCCAAACAGACATCTTTAATACATAGTATAGAAGAATGGCAACAAGGGACAAAGCAGTAACAGAATTTCATGGAAGAAAAATTAATACTGAGAAAACACTATCCAACAGCTCCATTTTTCCAGTGTGAATGTGCCATTATCTGACTTGACACGCTTCTGCCAGCTTGAACCACCAGCAGGAATGCAACATGATCACATCAGAGCCGCCAGGCAGCAAGACATGAATTATGGTCTCCTGAACAGGCAGCAAACCCTGGGCTCTGAGGAAGTGAGGTTGAGAACCTCGCTTACAGAAGACCAATCCCAAAGAGCTTGCTGCAGTGCAGTGTGATATCAAAGTTCATTTCCCAGATAAGATTTTAATATCATAAGCAGGCATACTTTTGAATAGTGACTATCATGATACACCAAGCCTATAATCTTTTTTCATTTTTTTCCCCAACTTGTATTATGTTCATTCTCAATTTTTCAAATTAAAACTCGTGTTTAGTAATCAAGATGTATTTTACTTAAGCTTAACCGTCCATGTAACCTGAGAACCAATAATAACTCTTTCCCAAATTTGACAATCCTCTCATTAAAAGTACTCTCAGAAATATTAAGAATCTATCTCAACAATCCCAGAAAGAGGATACTGAGATTAAGCTGAACTGCCTTCAAATAATTTCAAACAAATTGGCACACAAATTAGTATTTTGCAAGAAGAGGCCATTGCCTTCGCAGTACAAGCACTTGGACTGAGATAAAACAAGGCAATATTCTTCTTAGTTCATTATAGTGCAAGTTTCCACATGGGAAGCCCACCAGGTAAAGATGCATGCTAAAAATGTAAACATATCGAATTCTTGAATTCTTATTGATACCCAGTTATTGCTAACCTTCCCATCTTCATTGAAACATCCAGTGCCCATGTGTCACATATTGGAAGTTCAACGTCCACTTTGCCTTAGACCATGAGCACTTTGTTCCAGCAATAGGAAGGGGCAACGCTTGTCTGAGATAAAAGACACTGACTGATGGATTACCCTTTGTATATATATGCAAAATCAAGGGCACCTGGCTCTTTTAAGTTGCCCCCAGTATTCTGAGCATTAGTCTGGACCACATTTTTTTTTTCCTCTTTAAAAATGTTAAGTATTTTTTTAGTTGCTTGAAAAGTTACTTTGCCCCTGCTAAACTTCTGAATCCCTTCTTGAGATTTTGGGGGGAGCTCTGATTACCAGAGAGGCCTCACCAAGGCAGAGGAGGGAGGGAGGGAGAGAGAGAAAGAGAGGGAGAGAGAGAAAGAGAGGGAGAGAGGGAGCGAGAGGGTGAGGGAGAAGGAGAGGAGAGGGGAAGGGGAGAGAGAACACTAATTCACCAATATCTATTAATGTAAAAGCACACTAGTTTAAAAAACACATGTAGTTTTAGCAGAACAGTGCTGGACACATGTAAAAAGCAGGAAGTTAGCTTCTGGCAAGGAGGCAGAGCAGTGCTAGAATCAATCCACAGGTCAGCCCTGATAGCTGAAGATGTAGCAGCCCCAGTACCATACATGACAGCAGGTCAGGCAGGTTACATAAGAGACTTCCGTTATTCCCCTCCACCCAAGTTCTGACAGCTGAGAAGTTAATAATTATCTTCTCATTTAATTCCCATTGTTAAATTTCTTAAATTATATTAATCCATAATGGGATAAAAGAACACATAAAAATACATGAGAATATTATAAGAATAATTTGTGAATAATTTTAAAACCTAACATTCACAGTGGATAACAGGAAGGTATTAAAACTCATGTCACACATTAGAAGAGGTATGTATGTAGACATCATTCTGAGAAAACCTGGTCTACAGATTGTGAAAATGTCACAAACAGTTAATACAGGAAAAGCTAATGGTAACATACACATACACACAAACTCTTTTTAAATAGATTGTCTCTAACCAGAACATATTTAAATGTTTTACTCAAAAATATATATAAAAATGATTTCATATGTGATATTATAGGCTGAAAGTACTGCAAGGATATATGATTAATTTACAACGAAAACATAATGGTTAGACTAGTAGATCTTAAACACTGTCTATATGTGTTGCAAAAGGACATTTTTATTGAGCACTAAAACAATCTTGGAAGTAAAGAGGATCAAATAATATGGCTAACTTTTTATCACTGAGCAAAAACAGTGGTCAAATTGAAGAGCTAAGCCTGGTGGGGAATGGAGCTGGTAAAATATTAGAATCAAGCCCTAATTTCAAAAATCCCATTTAATCAACTCCTCAGATAAAAAGCTCGAATAAATCACCATTTAAGGGGCAAAACGGCCTACAGCATTGCAGGGGAAGGCAGCAGTGTGGAAACCTTTTGACAGAGGTGTGGGCTCTAAGGTAGGGACAGACAGAAGGCGTGCACACACAGCCCAGCAGTGTCCTACAGACAGTGGGGTCTCCTGAACGGCAACACCCAGAAGGGGTTTTTGTAAATACTTATTTTCCTCACTAAAATGGTTGTATCCCTAGAGAAAACAAAGCCCTTTTTTCAATACTATCATTATTATTATTTTTCATGATTTCTTATCTTGGGTCTCAAATGTTAGTTAACTTGAAGGCTATTTGGCTACTTCCAAGTATGTATGGTTTGCCACTCTGGGATAGACGTAATTTTTTTCTTTTTCTTTAAAAAAATTTTTTGGTATCGATAAAGCCCAGACATTTCTGGTCAGTGATGCCTTTATAATTCCTGTTTCCTTTGTACTCAGTCACTTCACTGGGTTTAAGGCATGCTCTGTGTATTCAGTTTGCAAAAATAAAACTTTTAGTACAAATTTATTTTTTATACAAACTTTTATGGCACAAGCAGCAAATCTGCTGTTTTAAGAAAATATATAAATATCCTTTTCTTCTGTACAAATATCTCCAGTATTCCCTACCCATTTTATAATTTTAACTGTACATGGTCTGCCTCATCCTTCTCTAATAGTTCCCTCCCCCCCTCCAGATCTCAACCAAATGCGTATTTACATTCTTCATGGTGGAGGCAGTCAGAGGAGGAGGGCTCCTCCTCAGGAGGAGTCTGTGCAGGGCGAGGGTGGCGGTGGGTAGAGGTGATGGGAATAGCTCCTCTCTGTGTATGGAGAAGGGGGGCAGCTTTCATAGTTCTCCTCTGCCGACAAGTACTGGCTTCGGGGCGTGGGAGGTGGGGGCACAGGCTCTGAGTCATAGTTCAAGTCACTGGTGTAGCCTTTGGCTGTTGCCACCGAGGTCACTCTCCGGCTAGGAGCATAGTCACTGTCACAAACATCTGTGCTGCAGGGTGTGGTAGGGGGTGCAAAGTGCCGGTAGCTGTAGGGCCTGTAACTGGTACAAGGAGAAAAGGAGAAACTGTTAAGTTTCATAGAAAAATAACTTTCCTAATCAGAATTCAGAGGTATTAGATGTAAATTTCACTCTGAAAACTGAGCTATTTCGATTAATATCTGTCCAGATCAAGAAGCAATTTTTCACTGGCTGAGGAGGACAGCATGTATTCTTATATTTGCAAATAGAGAGGCAAGTAAAAATGGGTAAGACGGGAAAACAAGTGACCCAATCTAGCCTGTGGATGTGGTCTTACATCTTCAAGCTAAATTGTATTACTGAGTCCAACCGGACTAGTGAAAGCTGTACTTGGGCTGGAGCTGGAGCTCAGTGGTTAAGCATGTGCTTAGCATATGTGAGGCCCTGGGTTTGACGACCAGCACCTTATTTTTTAAAAACCCTCAAGGGCTGGGGATTTAGATCAATGGTTCCACAGCCTGCCTCACAAGCACAAGGCCCCAAGTTTGATCCCCAGTACCAAAAACAAAAAACAAAAACAAAGATTAAAAAAAAAAAAATCAACTTGTAAAAAAAAAAAAACCCTCAAAAAATAAAGTTCTACTTAATGGTCTTCTCTAGAATTACATATTTTGTACTTAGTTTACAGAAAAGACTTTACCAATTTCACCTCCTCAAACATGTTAGCATTCTTTAACACTATCATAATTTACCTAACAAATAATTTAATGATACCTAAAAGCTATTTCTTTTTTTTTTTTTGGTACCAGGATCGAACTCAGGACCTTGTGCTTGCGAGGCAGGCACAGGAACCACTGAGCTAAATCCCTGGCCAAAACTATTTCTTCTTTTAAAAGTCAAATATTGTACAATCGAGGCTGAATTTCAATAGACAGCCTATGGAATATAACTATCCCACTACTGTTACAATCAGGAAAAGAAAACTTATTTGGGAAAATCGTTCTGATTCTTTGTGTAACCATGGGTATAATTTAACTGAACATGAAGATGATACATTTTAAATACCCATAAAGGGCCGGGAAATTTTATAAGTGATCCACAGTTGGTACATTTGTAGCAGAACACTGAAAATAATGTACTTGTGAAGATAAGAGCTGACATAAAGTGCTGGCTTTTCTGTCATTCCCACTTCTATTTGGAACTTCTTACACATTTTTATTCTGAGTATGGTAAGGGTTACTTATTTCATATCCATCCCAACCAAAGGCTTATGCATAAGCTTTGTCACCAAACTAAATGGCTGTGAAAGAATTGACAAGAGCACAAAAACTGGTAGGATAATTCCTAAAATACCCGGTGATACAGAGGAGCTGAGATAGTAACCAAGGACACAAACCATCTGTTTTCACTTGGCCTGGCCTCAAAAGAAATGGCTGCCAGAAGATCGTAAGTTACATGACCTGCCAAGCAGGTTCTCAAAAGCTTTTACTATCAGTAGTGACTTGCTGTCCTTAAGGGTTTTTGTTTTGTTTTGCTTTAACTATTTACTCAAACAGGTCAAAGCCTTGGTGAAATTTCCTACTTCTGTTTTTAAAGGGCAAATACTTCCTTCCATTTTCATGGGGTGGGGAGGTGAATGAACAAAATTCTTGAGACAGATCTAAACGATAAAGAGTAAACAGAAATTGGGCTTAATCTGAGATACAGGAAATGGTTAAATAACAATTGTTTTAAGTGTGATTATGTTTATTTTGATCAAACTTTAATGTGAATTAAAGTGTTAAGCTTTTAAAATAAAATTTCAGATCTTTCCTTTTGCTTTTAAACTTTCAGACTTCTGCTGTTCTATTTGGCTTTTTAGGATAAACTCTTGGCAGGGACAGCAATATTACAACAAATTGGAAAAACATTCCATTGAGAGCCAAGCCCATGTCAAATACTCTTTTCCCAACTGAAAAGGGAGCTCTGAACACACTCTGAACAGTTTCCACTGCATTTCCATTCATGAATGAGGTCAGAGCAGGTCAATTTGACTGAAATGCTAAGAATCACCCCATGAGGAAGATAAGCACAGAGGGATGCCCACAAACAGCACTCTCTGTTTAAAGAGTACCAAGCTGTTGACTGTTGCTGACCTTTCAAATGAAGCAAAGAGTATGGTGGACAAAATCCTGACTGACCTGTTAACATGCCCTATAGACTCACAAATTAGTAGAAAGGTATCAGTTCCCCTGCTGTGGCTTACAAATATAGTTCATTTATTTTAGTTAGTCTTAATTTATTCCATGCACCTACGTGAGAAATCTTTCATCCCAGATCACAACAGCACATGTAAGCAAGGGCTGACCTTACATTTTTCTTGAATTCTCTCAGATTCTGTGCTTAGTACATCCTGCTGGATGAGAGCTCTCCAACTCTCTGAACCAGCCCTAACCCAATATTCTATTCTTTTTTCTTGGCACTGGGGATTAAATCCAGGGGCACTCTACAAATGGGCTACAATCTCAGCCCTTTTTATTTATTACAAGGTCCACCAAATTGTCCAGCGGAGCCTCGTACTTGAGATCATCCTGCCTTAGTCTCTGGGTAGATGGGACTACAGGCATGCACCACCACACGGCCCCAGTATTCCATCCTTAGAGTATCAATCTTAACATGAGCAGTAACTTATTTTGGAATCAGTCACTGTGGTGAGTAAATTTTCAGAACACTGCCAAAACCTGGACTCTGTTTTTTAAGTTTTATTTTTTTTGGCGACAGTCTCACTATGTGGTTCAGGCTGGTCTTGAACTCATTATGGAGCCCAGTCTGGCCTCAAACTCAAACTCCTGCCTCAGACTACCAAGTTCTGGGATTATAGACTTGTGCCTCCATACCTAGCTGTTTCATTATTCTAAAAGCCAGGATTTATGACTCTTTTAAAAAAAAAACAAAAAACAAGCAGGGCCAGGGATTTAGCTCAGCGGTTCCGCCACCTGTCTTGCAGGTGCAAGGTCCCCAGTTTGATCTCCGGTACCAAAAAAACAAAAAGGCCCTGAAAGAAAAATTGTCAGAGGGGCAATGTCAGCATTGCCAATATTCTCTCACTGGTGACCATCAACTTCTCATTTGAGACTGTATCAAGCCCACAAGCAGAGTCCTTAACTTTTTTTTGCCCGCTCCATCCTGGGAGTCAAACCCATGATCTCATGTAGGTGGGCAGGCACTCTGCCACTGAGCCACACCCCCACCCTGGCCCTTTTTATTTTATTTTTTGAGACAAGGTCTTACTTAGCACTTACATAGCACTTACTTACTACACTGGCCCTGAACTTGCTATCCTCCTGCCTCATCCTCTGCAAGTAGCTGGGATTATAGATATGCAACACCATGCCCACTAGTAAGCATTTCCACTTCCATTAAGAGGATGTGATGTATTACCTGTATGACCTATGAGTGGAAGGACTGTTTGAAGAATAACCAAATTCCATAGTGTAATGTGATCGCTCTGTGGCAGGGGATGGTGGTGGGTTCAAAATCTAAAAGGAAAAACAATTAAAATACTCTAAACCAGACAGAGACTTACACATTCTTTCATCATCTAATCTTACCGTTTTCCACAGATCATTAGCACAATTCTCCTTTTCCAAAGAGCTGACCTGACTCTAGCTTCCCCTTCCCTAAAAGAATTTCATTATGGCTAAACAGCACAAAGTGATTAAAAGAAAATCTATTATCTTCAAATCACATGTTTAAGTTCAATCAAACTAGGATTTGGATTTTTTAAATTATCTATGTTCAGAGAAAAATGACTGATTTAGGAGAAAATATAGGTATGCTTTTTTAAGGAAGTTAAGAAATGAAGGTTCTAAGTCTCTCAAGACGTAAATAGGTCTATTTTTACTTAAAATGTGAAATGACCAGTGCTTTCAAATATACTGGTTATTTATACAGAGAAGGCGGTGGTAGTAAATCCTTTAAACTTTATATCCCAAATTCTGTATTAAAAAACTATTTTTACATTGCCATCACCAAATCCCCACATTTAAATGAGATAATCAAAGACGCTATGTATTTTAGTATTCAGAGAAAAACAAAGCAAAACAGACTGCTTACTGCAGGGAAGTAAGTGCCTTTGGTACTTGAAGAACTGCTTGACGACGCGCCTGTGACATGTGCTCGATCATAAGGGGGTCCACTGCTTCCCCCCATGATACTGAGGGAACTGATCATTGATTTACCTCGAGACATTCCTAACAGAAAGAGAATAAAAACTGATGAGTGAGATCTATAAAAATGTATGAAGTGATTTTATTCAATATGAAGGTTACAAACAGTGGTTATGGTTTATATCTGGATGCCCCTCAAAACCTTATGTGATCATAGGTGGGCTTTGGGTGGTGACTGGATCATGAGGGCTTGATACTCATCAGTGGAGGAATACACTGATGAGCTGACAGCTCAATGTGATGTTGGAAAGCGTGGCCTGGTCATAAGGGGTAGGTCACTGGGGGTCTGCCCTGGAAGAGCCTATCTCCCTCCCGCCTCCCTTGATCTCTCTGCTTCCCACCACCATACCTCGAGCTGTTTCTCCAGTCAGCCACCCTGCCTTGGAGCCTTGATGCAGTGAGCCAGGATGGGCCTTGGAGTTGTGGGCATTAGGTACTGTGTCTCAGTAAGTAAAGTAACTAAGACAACACCAACAGTCAAACTGTCTGATTTAAAAACTTATGCCCTTTTCCTCATAACAACTGGAAATGGTTAATGAAGAAAGAACTTCTAGAGAATGTTTTCTAGAAGTGAATGCTTCCACTGAGAGAGGGCCTAGAACAAGGCCCAGAAGAGTTCCCACCTGCTCCTTCAACAGCCTGGACAGAGTGGAAGGGAACAGGGCTGTGAAGGGTGGAGGCTGGAAAGCAGCATGGCTTAAATAGTAAGACTTGTTCAAAAGGAAACAAAGCTATTTTTTAGGGCATAAAACAACACATGGACAGTATTTCTTTGCCTACTAGATGCAAATATTGCTGGAATCCAAACTACCAATGTTAAGAAATTCTATTTTTTCCAAGTAGCTTTCCAAATTTCACTTGCAGAAAATAAGTATGGCAACAGGAAACACTTTTCAGCTGAAACTTGATGTCTGTTTACTTACAAATTTTACTCAGCCTAAGTTCCTATTTTCAGAAGTCTTTGGCCAGGCACCACCTCTTTTATTTTCATTAAAAGTAAAGCTTTTCACTAAGGCCACTGGGGAAGATTGCAAATGAAGCTACCATCCCCTGGAACAATGTGGCCTGCCCAGCATAGAGCCTCTGCATTCTGGGCGTGGCTAAAGCAGCACCACTTCCACTGTCATCTCTTTAAGTCAGGGGAAAACAAAATAATGTATCTTTCCCTTCTGTCACTCAGTTCCAAATTTTTGCTTGCTGAAGGGAAGCTTATCCTGGTCTACTTTTATTCCTGGCCTCAACAGGATTAGAGTTCCCTGGTTGGGAACCTGTAATTTCTTAAAACTTAATTTATCTCCTTTGAATCAACTCTAAGTAGCATTCTGTGTCTATAACGGAAATGTAATTTTGCCAGAAGCTGAAACTTGATGGATCAGCCTCAACTCACCTGGAAGAGACCCTGACAGAGAGCTCGGGTGTGGCACATAACCCAGAGGCACAGACGCTGGTCCATGAACCACATAGTCGTTGGCCATAGTTTCCCCATCTCCCTTCATGCGTGGACACAACATCCTCTGGCAGATAAAGTATATGGTTCCAGACACAAAAATGGTGACAATTACTCCAATTACTGACCCAACGGTATTGGTGGCCTGTGGTGCTGGCTCTTCAGTTGGATCTAAAATGAGAGATGCTGCATTGTTATCTATATGGAAAAATAATAATACATTGAAAATAGCAACAACAAGAACGCCAAGCTATAAACTTAAAATAACTTGTAAATATAAGTTTTTTATGGTACATATATACTATGCCCCAAAGTAAATGTCGTCATTAGGAATCAAAATGATTGGGGCCGGGGATTTAGCTCAGTGGTTCCAGCACCTGCCTTAAAAAGCACAAGGTCCCGAGTGATCCCCGGTACCAAAAAAAAAAAAAAAAAAAAGATCTACCATTAAATAAAGACAAAAATAGGAACAGACTAGGAACTACAATTGTAAATTAATAGGAACAAAGATGGTAAGTACAGATTTAAAAACCATTAAGTTTTAAACTCATATATGGATAAAATCTACTTCATACTGCATAAAAAATCAAAGATATTTTGGAATTTCAGGGAAATTTTTAGGTCAGAAGGAATGAACCAAGAAACGTCATCAAATATTTCACCTGGAATGGTGAAGAAATCAAAAAGCAGCTCTGAGCACTTGCTTGATTTCAGATTTAAGCAGTAACATTTAGGCCCAGTGAAAGAAAATTGAAACTACAGTCGAGCCTGGGCTCTGAGGTCCCACATGCTGCTGCCCTCAGACTGAGTGCCAAGAGCAAGGACAAGGGTCTCTAATGCTTAAGAGGACTTGTGGAGAAAAGGCCAGGCCACTAGAGGAGGGTGCTGCCCAGGACAACCATCCTGGATCCCTAAGCTACTTGAGCCTTGAAGAAGCAGAGGCAGGAGTAAAGAACAAACGGGATTATCAAACATAGAGCATTAACCTCTCCTCAGAAGGAAAATTCTTCCATTCCAACTACTTACCTTAGATCTCACAACTGCAAATCCTTTTTAAAAAGCTGCTTTCTGCATCTTACCTTAAATCTCCAGCTGAACTCACCTCTGATATAACAAATAATGTCTCAGAAACAAGTAAAACTGATAGCACTAAGTTACATAAGATATAGGGGCAATCAGCAACAAATTTAGTATGTGGAATCTGAGGTAGACTCTCTTTAGCCCTTGCTAGCAATATTCCATCTTTTTAATTCCTTTTTAGTGCTCTGGCTTTCCTTTCCAAGCTTTATAAGTTTATAGGGCAAGAAGATCGTGAATTTGAGGCCAGCTTAGACTACATAGTGAGATGCTATCTCAAAAAAGCAGAAGGAAAGGCAGAAGGAAGGAAAAAAGAAGTTTACATTTACTACCACCCATTCCTAGATTCTGGGTCATATCTTAAGTCACTAAATTCAGGCTCCTATCCTCACCCACAGCACTGAAACTGCTCTAACAAAAGTCTGCGTTCTCAGAATTGCTACATTCAATAAACTCTTCATCTCACTAACCTCTCTACATATTCAAAGGTGCTAGCTCCTGTCTTCTTCTCAAAAACATCTGTTCAACAGCCTTCTAAGACATCAGTCTCTCAGTTTAATGATTTTGATTACTGTTTCTCTGCTTCCTTTTTTGGCTTCATTCTCTTCTGTCAGTTAATTGCAGGTCATTTCCCTGAGTTCTATCCACTATCTACTATTTTCCTCTTCTACTTATTCTCCTGGGAGATTTCATCTATTGCCACAGTGTTAATTATCATCAATAAATTGAGGAGTGCCAAATCTCCTTTCCAAGCCATAGATCCGTAAGAGCAACAGCTTCCTACCAGGTACAATGGAATAGTCCATGGGAATCTCTAATGGAAACTATTCCAAACTGAATTCATCATTCCTGCCATCTTCCATTTTCCCCAGATTCCAGAAGTAGATCACAAATAAATGAAATATTCCAGTGGACAATAAAGAGTGATGGGATCTATGGCAAACTCTAAAGCGCATGCCTGCCTAAAGGCAACTGAATTAAAAGCAAAAATAAATTAACAGAAAACATTAGTCTTTGCTACGTATCTTAATAACTCTTGTCACTCAGTGAGGTATCTGTGGGTCAACTTAAACTTTACCAGCTACAGCTAACCCTTTTTATTTATGAAATTACTCTGAACCTATTCCTTCCTTTATCACTATCACTCCTCCTTTTGACTGAGATCATCATCATCTTCTGGCTAACTACAACAGCCTCCTAAGCACTTTTAAATTACAGACTACAAGTCATTAGTAGATGGTGAAAACAATTCAGTGGGTTGCAACCAGTATTAAAAAAAAAATAGATAGATACAATCTGCATTACTTGGGTAAATACTGTTGTGTTTCCCTTTGGGTCATTACAGACACATCCAGATCTTTGTATTTCTCTTGATGTAGTCCAAAGAACTTTGAAAACGACCAGCCTAATTCTCAATGACTCCATTACCGCTCCTTTCTGCTTTTGAAAAGGATAGTCCTTCTGCCTGGAATGCAGTTTCTCCTCTTATCTGCACAATGTACACTTTCAGTTATCAAGACTCAACCTTAAGCACCATTTTTCTACAAAGGCTTCCTTGATCAATTCCATTCCTAAAAAGCTACCTACTCTCTTTTTACCACCACTTGTATAAATCTCTTAATAGCACTTTACATACATATTACTCACCATACTGTTATCAAAAATACCTACTATGAGCTAGACTATACATCAGCCAGGCTAAATAAGATAGACATTAAATCAGTTAATTTTCTCACAATCACTAGGCTAAGTATCATTATCTGAAGTTTAATGATATGGAAACTAGGATTTAACAAGAATAATTTGCTGGTGATGGAAGGAGCTAAGATTCAAATGAGGAGTGCTTGATTCTAAAATTCTTACTTTTAGTACTCTCTCAGCCATAGAGGACTCTGGGAATCTTGGTGTAGGTGCCATGTATCCTCAGCACACAGCACAGTGTCTGGAACATGGCAATAAATGCTTGTTGAATGAACAAGCAGAATCTAAAAACTCACAGTGTCTCATTTGAACTTCTCTAAGTACCACCAAATCAGTTTTGATAGGGTAAATCTGGCTTCTGCTGAATTCCATTCAGAATTAACCACAGCACAGTACACCCATCTTGGATGCATTTTATGTCTTGGTCCACAGTTCTGAACCTTTCAAAAGCTACAGTTCATATGTCTCCAGGTGTACAGTGGCCCAAGCACCCTCAGGCTGCATTTTAGGAAAGCCTTTACAGTCTTCTGGCCATTGAGAAACTTGTGGAAGCTTTAAGAAAACACGGGAGGTGGTTAAACGCAGACCAATGCTCAGAAACAAAGGCTAGGCCAAATGATTTTCATGCATCTAAATTACGTGAGAATTTTGAGAATTTAGTTGTGGTACAACAATATTTATTCTTTTTTCTGGCACTTTACTAAATATTTCTGCATTTTTATGCCTAAGAAAACTGCTATCTTTAAGAAACTATTAAAAACAAACCATAAAAAAATCCCTGCCACAAATAGTTTACTAGTAACACTTTTTCTTAATAAGGAAACCTTATGAGTAAAACTTATAAAGAAAAGGAAAAAAAGGGTATTTAAAAAAAATTCTCCCTTAAGAGTAATTTCCAAGGTTTCATTTCTACTTACAACAATCCAGTTCATCAGATTTGTCACTGCAATCCACATTATGATCACATTTCTTGTGCTTTCCAATGCACTGGCCACTGGCACAGCGGAACTGATCAATTAAACAAAGCACTGGAAAAAATATAAATAATTTTTTTCATTTTTAACATCATGTAAAGCCAAATTCTATCAAGAGTCAACAGGTACTTCTGAGTATGAATGAAAAGCACACTTGATTTTTAGATTTAACTTTAGTCTCTGGGTTCCACTAGTAGAGAAAAAGAGTAAAAAAATGAATCCAGCAAGAAATTTCTTTGTTCTTTAAATTCCTTCTTTTACTAATTAATATTTATTTATTTATTTATTTACTTATTTATTTATTTTTGGTACCGGGGATCAAACTCAGGACCTTGTGCTTGGAAGGCAGGCGGTGGCACCAGTGAGCTAAATCCCTGGCCCAATTTTTGTTGTTTACCAAAGAATTCTATAGATCTTGTTTGTTTACACTGTACTGTGTAAGGTTAGTAAGGGAAAGAAGAGAGTAAGATATTTCAGACTGTAATAAACCAAATAATTCAGTATTCACTGAAAACAGGGACTATTTTCACATACTCATGACTTAGTCTTTTGGTCTTCTTTCTCAGTTTCAGACCTTACTGCTACGGTCTGAGCCTGTCCCCCAGTGTCCATGTGCTGAGGCATGGAATTCTGTGTTGCATGCCACAAAGGTGCTATCTCTAAGGCAGAGACAGCACAGTAGGTAACTGAGGTCCTGTTCTCAGAATGGACTGAGGTAGGGTCAAGGGACTCTGAGTCTTCAAGAGAGACTGTTATAAAAAGAGTAACCTGACCTCATCTCCTCACTCTGGCTTCCCATCTAGGGATGAGATTTCTTCCTCTCAAGTCCTCCAGTCATTATATTTCCATCTGCCATGAGACCTTTTAGCCAGGGGTCACTGTCAAGCCCTTGACTCTCCAGAACTATGGCTAAATAAACCTTTTTTCTTTATAAAGTTAATTAGCCTTGGGCACTTAATTATAGTAACAGAAGGCGGACTAAAATTCTTACTAATTTGTATAAACTTCATGCAAATGAAATGAATTAAGACAATTTGGAACATGGCATTATGTTCATGATATGCTCAAATGTCATACTGAAAAATAATACCTAGTGATGCTTAATTTGAAAAAAGTTTAGCACACAGGGTCTAAACTCCACAAGTTGTCTGCTTAACCCTGGGCTTCACTGTGATGACAGGACACTTCTAAATTTCCAAAAATTCCCTATATTTCCAAAGTCATTACAGGGTATACATAAAGGCCATTAAAATCTGAGAAAAGGTATAGCAGCATTACCTGTGATGAGGTTCAACTGTAGGGAACTGGCTAAGCATGCTTAAACTTCTGTGGTATATCCACAGCAATGCCATAAATAAATAAATAAATAAATAGTTTCCGTGTAGTTTAGAAGTCCAAGAAAATTGGAACAAAGTTATCAGAAAACCCCAAATCTACACTGGGCCAATGTAACACACTGAATTTTAGACAACTTGATGGAAAAGGACTATGTAAGCAGGCATGGAGGAATTCCGGATACCTTCACAGTTCTTTTCATCTGATTTATCCTGGCAGTTTGCATCCCCATTGCATCGGAGGGCACCATCAATACACTGCCCACTGGCACACTGGAACTGGGACTCTGAGCACACAGGACAATTGAGTTCATCACTGTGGTCTTCACATTCAGTAAACCCATCACAACGCCAAGCCACAGGGATACAGTCAATTTCCCCAGTGAAACAAGTAAACTGCTGAGGAGAACATGTTGGGGGCTCTTCAAATGAACAAGGGGGAGGGAATGACAAAAGTACAATAATGGTCACACAAAAGTACAAACATTTATACCCAAGTGAAGCTCATTTAATAATTAACATATATACAAAATATAATTTTAAAGTATCTAATCAGAAGTTTTTCTACTACTTAATTTAGATTCACTAAGTAAAACTGAGTTTTCTCACATATTATAGTTCAAGTATGATTATAATATCTGCAATCACACATAACCTGAGAACAATCATTATAATCACCAACCTCAAACTATTTTAAAGTAAGCCTAGAACACACATGTTTTTCTACCTCTGAGGTTCTCAAAAGGTGGTCTACCACCCCCCGGGAATCCTTAAGTCCTTTTATTAGTGGCAGTTCACTATTTTTACAATAATTCTAAGATCCCATTTGCTTTTTACACTGGACTCACACTGATACCACAAAAGGAATGGTGGGTAAGACTGTTAGCACCTTAGTGGACTCGTGGCAATCACACTGATCTGTACTAGCGGTCCCTGGGCTCCAGACAGCCATACACTCACAGTTTAAACAGGACAGTTTCACTTCAAAATGGGCATGATGAATCAGTAAAAAATGTTAATTATATTAAAATCAACTCCTGAGTACAAGTCTGTTCAATAATGTTTGAGGAAATGGAAGTATGCACAAAGCTCATGCGTAAACCTAAGCAGGTCAGTTTCTAAAGAGAAAGGATCTGAGTATTAAATGGAAATCAAAATCAAACATTATTTTCACCTGAAAAAAATGACAAAAATATAAACTATAGTTATTTACACTTGGATTTCTGGTGGGAATTTTTAAAAAAAGAATTAAGTGATCCTGTTAACCTCAACAAAAACAATAACAGTAATTGTGGCAAATTACAACATCAAAGCTGTCAAGTGGAAATTACAATTCTGGAAAACCTGAATCTAAGATTGTAAGCTTCACAGACTCCCAGTACTTAAAAGATTTTTCTGATGAAATTGGTGATACAGAACAAATGTGATTTTTGATATTATATAATGAGATGGGCCAAAATCTGAAGATCTGGGAATGTCTGAATAAAACTCTAAGGCCAAATGACTAGGGTGGGCTTGAGTGATCCTCCGCCTCCGCCTCATGGGTCAGGGACTGCGCCATGCACCACCGCACCCATCCAGGTCAGTACATTTTAACAGAATGGACGAAGAAACGTTAAGAGATGTGGTTTCCAATTTCATGCTATAGCCAAACCTATAGGAAACTGACACTTGTCAAGATCTGGTGTAGAATCCAAGAATATCCACAATTCTTTGAAAAAGCTATTATTATAGTTTATTTTCCCACTATGTATCTGTGTGAAGCCATATTTTCTTCATACATTTCAACAAAAACTACCTATTACATAAATTCTTTTCTCTCAAGTTATATTTCCTTAACTATATACTGTAGTTAAGTTTTCTTAATATATTTCATTCATGAATGTGGGTAAAGGGTTATTGTTACTTTTCACAGTTTTTAAAGTTCTTGGCTTTAAATTCTGGCACTGTAAATATAGATAAACATGAACTATAAAAACATAACCTGTTTGGGGCCCTCAATAATTTTTTAAAATATAAAAATATACTCAGACCAAATAGTTTGAGGACTGCCCTCAAGTCCAATTTTTCCTATTTTACGAAGGAGGAAACTGAGGCTCAGAGAGGCTGTGATTACCCCAGGACACAGAGCTGCTTATAAACAAGGGATGATTACAAAGCAGTAAGAATAAGAGGGACGGTGTCTTGAAGTTTAGCCCACTGCCTTTGGTACTGTATTATAAGTTCTTTAAAAACTTGACTGTTGGTAAATTCTCTTGGGAATACCCAACTTTACTATAGGACCATGAGCTGGAAAAACTTTTATCTTTAAAACAGAACATTACAAGCTACAGATGAAAACTGTACGTGTGGAATTTGAAGGATTCTTTTCTAAGAGTCTATTATGCATATACTCAACAACTATACTAGATTGCATGGAAAATTAAAATAGACAAAATGATTCACTCTCTTAAAAGCTTTGAATTTGGCTGAAGATAAGGACTAATAAAAAACAACTAATTAAAAAAAAAAACTCTTAACTACCTGTCATACAAACTGGGGTAACAAGTGCTGCAATTCAGACAGAGGAGACAACAGCAGCTAGTGAGGTTTTCATAGATCATTACGGAAACAGATGCCCCTCGGAACGGATTAAGATTTAGGATAGTCAAGCAAGAAGAGAATTATATACCTGAAATATCACAAGAAAATCTATATAAGCAAAACAAAACAAAACAAAACAAATATGCCATAGTGGTCCTCAAACTCCAAACAGCCAAACAAAAATAGTGAGCAAGTTGGGAAGAAATACAAAATGAGATGGACAGATAAGATAGGTTAAAGTGAAATCATGTTTTGAAGGTCAGGTAGAGGAATTTATATTTCATATTTCATTTATCTCCATTGTAAAATCAATATGAAATTATAAAAAGACTTGTACATAAATGTTCATTGTAGTTTTATTTTTGATAGCAAAAAATGAAAACTGAAATGCTCCTTATCTAAGAGTAACTGTGTAGTAATGAAATACTACCCAGCAATTAAAATCATACAATAATACACTCAACTGTATTACTGAATCTCAAAAATATATTATGCCAGGGTCAGAGATTTAGCTCAGTGCTTCCGCCGCCTGCCTCACAAGCACAAGGACCCGAGTTCAATCCCCGGTACCAAAAAAACCCCCAAAAAAACATTATGCCAGAGAATCTTAACACAACAAGTTTACATATTATGATACCACTGACAATATGTTCAAGAAAAGGCAAAAATACTCTATGGGGCTAACAATCTAGTGGGGTTTTTTTGGCAGAGGAAAATGGGTAAGGGACGTCTGAGTCCTTTTTTTCTTTCTTTTTCTTTTTTTGGAGAGAGGGTCTCACTATGTAATTCAGGCAGGCCTCAAACTCACAAAAATCCTCCTGCCTCAGTCTCTGAAGCGCTGGTATTACAGGTATGAATCACTACACCTGGGAAAGGTCAGGGAACTTTTCTTGAGAGCTTGTTTGGAGGTCCTAGCAGGGGAGCGGAGCTACTTGTATACCTTCGACCAAGGAAACAGTCCTCCTTGGTGGTCGTCTTTGTTGACCAAGCATGCAGCTTCAGGAGGGATGCATGTGGAGTGGTGAGGGAGGAAGGAAACACCCACCTTAGCTGAATCAACCCTGGCGATCAATAGGATGACAGATGACCCAGCCAGATTGCTCTTAGATCTGACAGGGTACTTTTCTTAGTGGCAATATTATATATCTTGATTGGGGTATTGGTTAACATGTTGCATACATTTTCCAAAACTCAGCTGAATTAACCTACAATTATGCTCAAGATGAAGATTTATGAATTAAGTATGTGAATATTATGGTGCTTGATACTACCACACTATGACTTAACCAAGGAATGTACCGATCTGCTGTGACTCTTTTTTTTTTTTTTTTTTGGTACTGGGGAACAAACTCGGGACCTTGCGCTTGTGAGGCAGGCGCCAGAACCACTGAGCTAAATCCCCGGCTCTGCTGTGACTCTTAAGTGATCAAATTTCACTACGGTATTATCAGTAAATATACCTTTAAAATTGTTGATTGATAGGTAAATAAGAGAAACGACAGGAAACTGCTGACATATTTGAACAAAAGGCTCTTCTCTCTAGACATATTCCTAACAATGATACATACACTGACAGAATCCAGACTTCAGTAGATGGAGAGTGCAAGAAGTAGAACTGATTCATCTCACTACAACCCACCACCATCTGGGGAGGTAGGGAAGCTACTACTCTATTACCAGGAAATAGTTGTTCTCAGACTGAAAATATGTTAATACTTATATGCAATGAAATACTATTCAGCCTTTTTTTTTAAAAAAAGAAAGAAATATTTCATTTGTAGTCACAAATAAGCCTGAAGAATATTATGTTAAATGACGTAAGGCACAGAGAGACAAATACCACATCAATGCACTTATATGTGGAATGTGAAAACTCACAGAAACAGATTAAAAACAGGAGCTAAATGCCAGAGGAAAATAAGGAGGAAAAGATTCCAAAGCCTAATAAAGTACAAACAAACAGAACGCAAGTGACCAATTAAATTATAAGAAATAGCAACTTCACTATCTACTCACAGAAGGCTAGACTAAGATATGGAATATGGTGGCATTTAGGCTTGCACAAGAAAATCATAACATATTTACCTCCACATGAAAGCTCATCTTGAAGCAGAACCAGGTGCATGGGACAAGAACACCTTGTAGTACCATCGCCTTTTACAAGACAAATGTGTGAACAACCACCATTATCCTGAGCACAAGGGTGCTGTCCTGGAAAAAGGAACAACTCATGTCAAAATGAATTTCTTTTATGAACCACAAACAAAACCAACTACAAATTCAGCTTGAACTTTATTTCTACACAATTCCTCACTCCATTCCCACAAAACTTACAAGAAAATATCTATATCTAACCACTTGTATGTATGTATGCATGCATCCATCCATCCACTGTATTTTGAGATGTGTCTCACTATATTTCTCAGATTGATCTCAAATTCCTGGGCTCAAGTGATCCTCCTGCCTCACCTCCCAAGTACTGCAGCAATAGGTGTACACACACACAGACACACACACAATTTGTAAGCAAGATAATGGTATAAATTTTTATTTTGTTAAAAAGAAAAGCTGATTATTGGAATAAGGAAGACTGCTGGGGAGATGCTTAAGACCTGAATATTATTCTCTTTAAAATATAAGAACTCTTTTCTAAATTACATTTTTTAACTCAAAATTCTGTCTGAAAGATAAATTTCACTTAAAAATTGTATTTTTAATGAGGAAGCCAATGAAAATTATAGTTATCAAAGAAAAATCTTAAGATCACAAGGAACTAAGCCATTTAGAAAGAGACAAATTTACTTGCTTTGTCAATTCAAAAAGTGACTTGTACTACTACAAATGTTTCATTTCCTCTTATTTGGGCTAAAATATACTTTGTAAGTGAAGTCATTTTATCTTTCAGTCAGAATTTTTGAGTTAAAAATCTTTAATTAAAGCAATAAACTGTAAGGCAACTTTTCAGTCGTTTCACAAGTTGTATTTAAGGAAATGACTGCTCTGAATTTTCTGTTTAGCTTGTTACAAGTAAGCTGACACTAGGTCATCACAGAATGCCAAGGTGTAGCATATTCACCATTTGTTATCTCTCACCTACAATAACATGGATCCTACTCCAGTTGGTGCTGAGGCTGAGACTCAGCTGTCTACGAATAAGCAGACATTCCCAGACACCACTTATTAGAATATACAATCTACAGAGCAGACTTTCTCAACCTTTAATTCCACATTTTTGAGAAACAAAAATCTCATTCTCTTGAAGTTATCAGAAATTTCAAAAAATGCTTTCCCAACCATGAAACCAAAATATGCTGAGTTGTATAAAGGGAGACAGTTTCCCTTGCAATTCTGAAAACACTCTCTGCTATTTTCTATAAAAACAAATATATAGCAACTGAATAACTTAGGTACTATGTCATTATCTTATTTCAATCAAAAGTCCACCTTGAGTCATATGTCAGATCATAAATGACAAAATAGCCAACTTCCTAATTCTCAAAAACTTCTAATTTACTTGTAAGCTTATGAATGGAGGTAACATGATGAACACTGCAATGAGCCATGGTGCTCTCCTTTTTCTCCTTTCAAGCTTCAATTCCATTTGAAAGCACTGAGCTGGAAAGGTAAGAGTCTTAGTAGTTTTCTAGTACTGTACTCCCACTATCATTAGCTCTTCTGGTATCATCATGTATTAACAAGAAATTAAGCAACAAAAATTATCCCTTTCAAAAGATTTCACTAAAGTAAAAACAAGTACCACTACCATTCTAAGTTAAGAATTGAAAACTTTAAGGAAAAGAAAACAAAGACTAATTAAACACACCCTTCACTAGGTTTTCATATTAATTTTTAGTTTGTTTTGCTTTTAAGAATAGTTATTCCATGATAAGTATATTAATCATTATATAAAAATTTTCTTCAAACTGTAAGGACATAGAGGGAAAAAGAAATAAAAATTTTATACCAAAGGGACTGAAGGTGATAAACAAAAGGCATGACAATCAGAGTCACTGTTGTACCTAGAGGGTTTTGCTTGTGTACTGAAATTAAACCCATGCCTCACACATACTAAATAAGCGCTCTACCACTAAGGTACACTACCAGTCCAGGAAATTTTTTAAAATGAGCAAGACTATGCATTTCTCCTTCTTCCATTTTATGAGATGTTTAACTTGAAAAAGCTCCCAGTTGAGTTTGATGTAAAACTCTAAAGCATGAGTTTTTTTAAAAGTGGGAAAAGGGCCAGGGATTTAGCTCAGTGGTTCGGCCGCCTGCCTCACAAGCGCAAGGTCCTGAGTTTGACCCCCAGTACCAAAAAACAAAACATGGCAAAAATAAAAATACATGAAAATCTGGAGGACAAAAAAGTACACCTTAATTTCTTACAACAAACATGAGTACTCCAATTAGCGTTACTTCCAGAACTTACTGTACTCCTGAAGATTCAGCTCCTTTACTGCATGAATGTCACTAAGCTGGGCAATCCGAGCCTGGACTTTAGTTCTGCCCTCTCGACCTGTCATGTCTATTTTTTCAATCATTTGTTGCTGCTTATCAATCCAGTAGAGCCAGTTTTCAAACACAGTCAGTCCCACAGGCTGCAAGATATTGGAGTCTTCTAACACTATCCTGTTGGCACCTTGAAAAGGCAGACATTCAACAGCAATGACTCCATGTGGTCAAATTATACTTTCAACAATTATTTACTGAACAGCAGTTAAGATTCTAAAAGCATGAGAAAGCAAAGTATACACTCTGCCATAAAATTTGAAAATCATGCTGAGAAGATACACACAGGAGATTAACTATGGTACTATGCAGCAATGATGCAGGGTATACAGGAAATAACATAGCATAGGTAGCTCTTGGTATTACACATGGTTTTAGGGAACTACTGGAGAGCCTGGAATAGTCACTCTAGGATAAGGGAGACTCTTATGGATCTATGCAACACAATATACATGGCACAGAACTGAGCACCAGGCTCTATCTTCAGACCTTTATTTTTATGTTGCGACTAAATCTCACTAAACTGCTCAGGCTGGGTACCAATATGTGAGTCTTCTCCCTCGGCCTCCCAGAGTGTTGGGATTACAGGCATGTGCCACTCCGACCAGCTGGAAATGATACTCTTAACATTTTAGCATGCAAATATTCCAGAACTATCTCAAGGTACATTTGTTTATATATTTCTAAAGGAATATGTAGATATATATGCCCTTAGTATACACCTATTTGTGTGTGCATATATATACTATATATACATTTTTTACAGTTTTTTAAATTCATTAAGTTTATTGGTACATTTTAGGTATACAATATGATGACATTCATCATTGGGAGTTTGTACCTGTACATGATATATCTTGCTTCCTATTTTTTCTCCATTCCCATCCCCTCCCTTCAACCCCTCCACCTCTCCCTATCTACAAAGAGTTTTTGTTTTTTCCTTTCCCTTCTTTCCTTTCCCCTGACCCCCTCACTTCTCCTTCCCATTCCCCTTTGCCCTTTTTCTTCCTATTTCACATTATCTATTATACATTTTGGTCCTCATTTATACTTTCAGTTTCTCACACCAGAGGAACTATTTGATATTTACATCAAATAGTCTTTATTTATTTCACTTAAGAGTATGGCCTCAATGTGCATCCATTTAGCTATAAATGGCTCTAGCCATAAAGACTTTTTGAAGCCAGGTGTGGTCATATATGCCTGCAAACCCAGCAGTTGGGTGAGGCAAGAATGTGCCCCAAGTTTGAAGCCAGCCTGAGCTACATAGCGAGACCCTGTCTCAGGGTCTCGCTATGTAACCCAAGCTGGCCTCGAACTTGAGATCCTTCTGCTTCAGCATTCCTAGTGGTAGGATTACAGGCATATATCACTACCATCCCCAGCTCTACATTTTATATTTTAAATAAAACTGGATCTTAATAAACATTTCTAAGTTTAAAAAATAATCCTTCTATGTCAATGCACACAATTTTACCTTAGTCTTTTGTATGACTAATATTTCATACACTGATATACTTCTCCATAAAACACTATCACAAATAGCATTCGTGAACCCCCTTGTACACTTGGGTTACTCTTTCTGTAATACAGACATCTACAAGGGAAACTGCCAAATCAAAGAGGATGCCCGTTTTAAATTCTGATAATCACTGGCAAATTGCCTTCCATCAATGTACTATCAATTTCCATTTCCACCAAAGCACATAAAAGTATGTAATTTTCCAATGTGGAATATAATCTAATATATTTTTGCTACTCTGATAAACATACTCTATTATTCTAATTTCATTTTCCTAATCTTTAGTGAGGCCACAAAGTATTTGGACATCAGAAATTAAAGTAGAGGAGAGAACTGTGATGACATTCATAAAACTGCAGAGAAACAAGAAAGTATCTTCAGACCAAGGAATGATTTAATTTGGTTAAAATAAAATAAAAGGTCATGATGAGCTTGTGAAAGGCAAATACCAATATATTCCAAATTAAATGTACAATGAAACCCTTTTCCTACAGGTTATAAAACTATCCTGAAGTAAACTAATGACTTTAGAAACTGTGCTTCAGAAAATTATGTTTTTGTATTGTATTTAAAATTATGCTTGTCAAACTTTATGCATGAAACTTTCAGGAAGAAAAAATGGGCAGGGAAGAGACCCATCATAGGCTAGAATTCAGGGCAAAGATAATGAGAACACAAAGTAGAGCAAAATAATCTAGGAAAGGAGAAGAGATATAACAGAGATACACTATTTACAGATCAAGAAAACCAGAATATATATTTGGATAACAGACGAAACAACTGCATCAATGCTGAAGGAAAAGCTTTCTCCAATTAACCTGATGCTCACTGTGCTTAGTGAATAAAACTGTAAACAAATGTGTACAAAAATAATACAATGCAAGAAAAATACAAATGCTACTGATGCATCATCTTTAAAATTCAAAATAACATGGGAACAAACATCCTCAGTACCTGAGAGATCACTGCTTTCAATTCGCCGGAGATCTGAATCAGCCCAAAAGAGTTTGCCCAACCTGCTATCAAGAGCTAAAGCAATTGGTTTACTTAAGCCACTGAAAAACAGGACCTCACGTTCTGTTCCATCTAAAGCAGCCCGTTCTATTTTGGGAGACCTTTCCTGAAGATTGGTAAAATACATATACCTAAAAAGATAAGAAAAAACAGATTACCAAAATAAGAAATCACACAAGAATATTTTTATTGTGGTAGGAGATAAAGGTATACCTTAGAGGTAGAACATGTGTCTAGCAGGTGCAAGGCCCTGAGTTCCATCCCCAGCACAATTTGAAAAAAATAATGTAAGTGTGTGTATATATATATATATATATATACACACACACACACACACACACACACACACATATATTTGGGGGGGCGGGTATGGGGGATCAAACGCAGGACCTTGCACTTGAGAGGCAGGCACAGCGCCACTGAGCTACATCCATGGGTATAAAATGTATTTTGTAATTTATTTTTAACAGATAGACAAAAACACAAAAATTGTACCTGTTAATGGGGTAACATGTTTTAATACACTGCGTATCTACCTGTATCTCTTCAGGCATTTATCAGTTTTATGGAGAAAACATCCAAAATCCTTTCTTCTAGGTCTTGAAATATACAGTACCAATCACTATAATCATCTTACTGAGCAACAGCAAATCAGAACATACTCCTATCTAACTGCAACTTAGTACTCACTGATAAACCTTTCCCCAATCCTTTCTCTCCTTTAAAAATCTATTTCTTAAAAAGGTCATGAGAACCTTTTACTACTTTCAATAATAGTAACATGGATACACAATTCTTTTTTTTTGGTACCGGAGATCGAACTCGGGACCTTGCACTTGTGAGGCAGGTGCCAGACCACTGAGCTAAATCCCCAGCTCAGATACACAATTCTTAGGGAGCTTTCACAGATTAATATGACGGTGTTAAGACAAAAACTTATGCTTTCAGAATACACAATAAACTGTAATTCAATGGCTATAGAGAGCTGGACACCAAATTTTAAATTTCCTTTCTAATGAACCTATTTATTACCTAAAATTAAGTCATACATGAATCATTTCATAGACTTAACTGGTAAGTTTCATCCCTTTCCTGTAACTCTTCTGAAGTAAGCCACTTTCCCTGGTAAATTCTTTATCATTCATTCAGATCCAACTGAGTACTGAATATGTATTAAATGCAAAGCTTTGTATTAAATGAAAAAACATATTAGTTTTTGTTATAAAGGCACTTAAGTTCTGGTAAGAAATACATGAGCGAAAAATGGCTAAGTTTAAGGCAATCTGGCAAAGATTACATATGACACAGATACAGAGCACCAAGAATCCAGAAGAGAGAATCACATCTGGATGGGTGGAGCCCGGGAAAACTTAATGGAGGACGTGGCAGCTGAAATGCTCATGGAGGTATGCTGAGGTTTAGAACTCAACTAAGGAGGGAAATTCTAGGCACTGAAACCAAGAGAAAGCTAAAAGAAAATGCAGATGCAAGTGAACACAGAATATTGAGTTGTTCACTGCAGGACAAGACACGGAAGGGTAAGTGTATAATGGGCTGAGGAGAGGGAGGAGGAGGGTCTCAGGTGGAAAGTCTCTAAATGCCATGTCACAACATACCCCTTCTCTGGATTAACCACAATGGCTCGGGGTCGGTCTTGATCGCCTTTTAGAACCACGCCAATCGATCTCCCGTCTAATCTTGTCACATTAATGACATTTGTAGCCTCACAAGTCCAGTAGATATAGCGGCTATAAATGTCAATGCTGAGATCATAGGGCTGTATTTCTAGGTTTTGGTTTGGAACTGAGCTCACCACCACAGTAAAGCCCTAAGGGAAAAATAAAAACACACAGAAGTTAAGACTCCACACTAGATGGTCCTGTGAAAATCACTCACAATAGGTATGCCTCTGTGCTCACACATCTCAGAAGGATCTCAAGTCTTCATTTCTGCTATATCCACCCCCTACCCCCCGGCAGTACTGGGGATTGAACCCAGAGCCTTTGCACTGAGCTACATCCCCAGCTCTTTTAAAATATTTTTATTCTGAGATATGTCTCACTAAATTGCCCAGGCTGGGCTCCAGTTGTTACATGCCTGTAATCTAAGCACTCTGGAAGGCTGAGGCAGGAAAATCACAATACCAGTATGTTTGTATAGGTAATGTGTTTCTTTGTCAATCATACATCTCAAAGGTTCCCTTGGGTTATTATAACCTGGGGCAGAAGAGGGGGCGGAGGACAGATTAGTTCTTCCAAGTATTAATGGTATCTAATGGGTTGAGGCCAGGGATACTGCTGAACATCCTACAATGTACATTCAAAATCCATTTAATATATTCAAAATCCAACTTAACATCTCTGCTATCAGGAAGATGACAAATATTTATTATAATGCCACTGAAATGCTGCTTGGGCACAGGAAGAATCATAGAATGAACACTGGTGTCTAAATCTATGACTGGTATGTAGGAATACATAAGACTGACAATAACTCATTCACATCCCTTAGTCACCAAACAGTATTTATCGAAAAAATTACTGGACCAACAACAACTCCTAGATGTTTTTAATTTTACTGAGTTTGAGGCCAGCCTGGGCTATACAGTAAGTTCAAGTCGAGGTTTTACTGTACAGCAAGACTGAATCTCAAAAACCCAAACCAAATGAAACCAAAACAACAACAGAAGAAAAGGGCTGGGGATGTAGCTCAGTGCAAAGGTCCTATTACTGGGCCCCATTTAAAAAAAACTGATACTGTATTATACATTTCCTACCTTATAAATACCTTTGAAATAATAGGTAAGTAGTAATGTAGCTGTCATTTACCAAGTCCCTACATTTAACAGGTAACAGCAATGTGCTCTGCATTCCTATCAGCTAAAACAGGTTCATAAAAAGTAGTGAGCAAGAGCTGGAATCAGGACTAAGGCCTATCTGATTTCACTATTTATTTCTAACACTCCATACAAGTGGAACCATAAGGAAAAAAGGTGGATGTGGATGGCAGGGACAAAGTCATTACCAATAAGTTATCCTAGTACAATTTCCACCTGATGCCACCATTAAATAATTGTTTTCACAGAGAAAAGGTCATCAGTTAAGAATTTCAGTCAGATCCATGCACACAGAGTCAAATAAAATAGGATGGCTGGATGGCTGGTTAGTCCAATTATGAGTCATAAGAAATGAAATGGGTTTTGAACTGGGCCTAGAATTACCTGGCTGCCATCCTCCTGTGCCTTTCGGATCATGTTTTGTCGTGAGTCGATCCAATAGAGTTGTTTGTCCAGTGGGTCATAATCAATGGCCCGGACATTCCGAAGGCTATGGATAGGAAGAATGATGTCAGGACTCTGCTGTTCATCAATCACCATGCGGTTGATGGCACTCTTCTGACTGAAGAGCAGGAAAGTGGTAGGAGCTTAAAGAAAGAAAAGAATGTATCTGAAATAGTTACTGTAAGTTCCACTTGAATATTTAATCTGCCCGTTGTACACACCTCCTAGACACAGTAAGGCTAAGGGCAGAGTCCTCTGGCATGCCCCCAGAAACTCTCTTCAGGGTGACATTAATCAGTATTCTAGTTTTCCTATCAGTTACGATATACCTAGTGACAGAGCCATATTTTTCTCCATCTTGCCTGGGAAACAACGGGAGACTTGATTTCAATGAACCATTTGATAAAGACATACAAAACTCTCCTATTCTTCCAGGTGACTCACCCTATTCCTTCTTAAGCTATTCTTGTTTGTGGTGGGTGGTAGGTATCCCAGGCCCCTGTAGGTCAAAGCAGAAACTTCAAAACTAGTTTCAGGTTCAGCTTTCTCACTATTTAGTCATTTGACCTCATCTCTAATCCTACCTGGATCAGTTTATCCAACTGTAAAACAAAATAACCATCTTATCCTTCTTGTTGAGTTGCTGTAAGAATTTTACAACTTATGTGAAAATACTTTAAAAATTAAGGAATTCTAAGAATGTAAAGTGAAAATAACTATTGTTTATTATTATTATCATTGTTATCAGGAGTAACAATAATAAACTTAGCATTAACAGGAACTAAACAATCCCTAATAAACTGCAGATACAGACTTTACTTGCTTTTTTTGGGTGAGAGGCCAGTACTGGGGACTGAACACAAGGCCTCCCCCATTAAGTTGCAGGTACTAAGTGACTCGCAGGCAGGTAGTGTAAATAGCATGCATACGAGGTAAAAGGAAAATTCATGTCCCAGGCAGAGTTCATCATGCTACGCAGAACTACACTCAACTTAAAACTTAGGAATTACTTCTGGAATTTTCTATGCAATATTTCCAGATAGTAACTCACTGCTGGTACAGTAAGTGAAATCACAGATTTCAGATAAAGGGATACTGTCTTCTCTGGGTACTGAGTCATCACCTAAATCCAGAAGAAGCCTGTCCTCCTTGGTGATATAAACAAAGAGCCTGGCTTACTCCCCTCACCCCTGTCCCTCACAGCTCTACTATGGGGCATCCAGTCTGCACTTACACCCAGATGTACACTGGCTTAAATCCCCCAAATGCTCCCTGGCACTCACACAGGAACTTAGCATTCACAACACTGGAATTTGTGTTTTTCAGAGTTAACAGCCCACACCCAGCTTGGAATAATTAAAAGTATCCCGATAATCTATTAGAAATCTCCATTATCCACCACATATTGATTCAACAACTTTTAGCAATTTCAGTACAAGACACGCCTTAAGAACACATTTCACAAAGTAGGTAAAAAGCCTCTCACCATTTTCTAAAGAACTGTTTTTTGGCAATACTACTTTCTCAGGAGAAAGAAAAAACAAAAGAAAAGGGAAGGGAGGGAGAAGGAGGAGGGAAGCAGGGAAGGGGGGAAGAGAGAGGACTTTAAATTCTAAATTTCCAGCAGAATAAGCACCACTCATATTGAGATACACAATGAGGCATACAGGAAAAATTCCTAAACTTTTTTGTTTTTCCCTCTGCTGGGAATTGAACCTTGAACGTCCTGGATTGCAAGACAAGCACTATAACACTAAACAATATACCCAGCCTAAACACCCTGGAGTTTTAGTTCCCAAATTTTCCTGTCTGGGAAGTAATCACACGTATAGTTGGCTCCTATTACATTATGCTGGGTAGGCTTTCTTTCCAAGTCAAGTTTTAACTCTCAACAAGATTTCACAATTAGGTACAGACCTTGTTGTTCTAAAACTGTGGATTAAAATAAAGGTAAATGTGTCTACAAATCAATGCTGGCTCCAGAAAGAATACTCAAAGACATTAACAATTACAAAAGGCTCAGTATTTCTAAGAGGAAGGTGATATTGTGATTTATTTAGAGTTGATTAATGCTTAAAGTGACATAAAATCTGCCGTTTTAAAAGCTTAAATCCATTTATCCAATTTATGTGAATTCTGACAACGCACACATCTCTCACAGAACGATGCTTTAAAAATTGTATCAACAGGTTGTCCAGAGTCTTACATTCCCACAGCAAAGAGAAAAACATGAAGAACTTGGAAGTGTTGAGTAGCGGGAGCTTTTCAGCAAACCTGAGGGCACAAGTGTCTACCTGTAACTTAAAGGAAGGTGTTGCTCTTGGTAAGAGTAAATTTCAAGGCCAAGCCCACCATGTGTAACTGTGCCATTTGTGTATGATGCCAATGGCACTAGGCAGGGACTGAACCCCAACCCACACTTCAGTAGTCAAGCCATGCACCTGGAGAATTGAGTTCTAGTAAGTCAGATATGTTCCCTGTAGGGGTTCTGTGTTTGCTGTCCCCTTTTCCTTGCTAGGTCTTCTCCTAGATATCCCCATAGCTTATTTCCTCACCTTCTTCAGTGAGGACTTTCTTAATCGCCCTATTTAATATTGCATCATTACACGATCACCCTTTTGTGCTCTTAGTATTTCTGTGTATTTATCACCACCTAATTCTGACACAGTTTATTTAGCTCATTATCTGCCCCAATGGAATGGAAGCTCTGTGAGGACAGGGATTTATGTCTATTTCATTTGCTGTTATATTTCCCAGTGGCTAAAAGCGGGTGTTCAATAAATACTCACTGAAAGAATGAAGAAATAAGCACTGCATGACAAGGAGAGCCTTGTACCCTTGATCTTATAAATAAGAAAATAAAATTATTTGAGAGGGAAGAAAAAGAAGCAAACATTTGCTGGGGACCTCCAGTGTCACATATCACACTTGATGTTATTTAACCCCCCATTTTACCTCTATTTGCTAGGTGAGCAAGCTGAGGCTCAAAGGACAATGTCTTTCCCAAGGTCACAGAGCTGCTGAGCAGGAAAGCACAAGTGGCTTCCCAGAACACGCTCTGCTTCTGCGCTGACTTAAAATTTTAATAATTTCTTGAGTGCCTACCACGTACCACAAACTTCAGTCTAGCACCTAATACATATCAGTGAAGACAACAAAAAACTGCTGCTTCACCAAGTTTATATTCTAATAGGCAGTAAGCAAGAAACGTAAGAAGGAAGTTATAAAAACAGTAGAATATATAAATGATACAGTATCCAAAAGGTGTAAGTACCATGGGAAGAAGAAAAATCGCAAGATTAGGAACACTGCCAATGTAGACAGGGTAGAAGAATTATTTGCAATTTTAAATAGTGTAGACCAGATCTTACTACGAAGGTCACAATTAAGCAAAGACCTCGAGGTGAATATTCGTAAAAATATTTACAGGAAGAACATCCCAACCAGAGGAAACAAGCAGCACAACAGTCTTGAGTAGGAAGTGACTGGCATACCTGAAATCGGCAATGAGGCCAGTGTGGCTGTTACAGAGAAAAGAAGGAAATGAAGGGGGAGGGTGGAGAAGGGGTTATGAAGTGATGGGTGGAGATCATGTAGGACCTTTCAGGACTTATAAGAGCAAGGTTTTCACTCTGTATGAAATGGAGACAACTGTAAAGTTTGAGCAGAGAAACATGATGGTTTAACTTTTTAAAATAGGTCAAAGAGCAAATTATACAACGTGAAAGTCGAGGGGAAGAATGTTGTTAAATCTCTCATAATGTGCCATGGAATTTAATACATCTCTACACAGATGTTAAATAGTACTCACTATAAAAAAAAAACAGCACACCAGAAGCTGCTGAAGCACTGCTGTACTAGCTGAGAAAGACAGTCAGCAGGCAGACATCTGGGACTCTCAGGAGTGACTTTCCCATGGTCTTCACTCACCCACTGTCAAGCCTGAGCAGATGCAGCTAAGAGAGTAATGACCTCAAAAGGTTTTTTCACATTCTGGCTCTATCCTCCATCAGTCATTACTCCATTTTCTCCATCCATTCAAGGCCAAACAACTTTACAGACATCCACGTTTACAACTGCCCTTTCCTTTTCTCCATTCATTTTTTAATCTCCAATCTGCCTTTTGTCTCTGAAATTATGCTCTTCAGGGTCACTAATAACTACCTCACCCCAAACTCCAGCTGATACACTTTTAGACCTCATCTTACTCAACTTCTCAGCAGCAGTCAACGGTTCTTCTTTGAAACAACCTTATCTCTTCTCTTTAGTACTTCAATTCTCCGGCTTTTCCTTTTAAACACTTCTTAGTGTCCTCTGCAAACTCCAACAGATGGCAAACTATAACTCGTAAACCAAATCTGGCCAGCTGCCTGTTTCTGTAACAAAATTTTAGTGGAATTCGGCCACCTCCGTTTAAAAACTGTATTGTCTATAGCTGATTTCATGCTGTAGTAGAAAGTTGAACAGAACTGAGCAAGTGTCAGAACCTACACACTCACAAAGCCTGAAACATTTACTGTCTGGTCTTTCACAGACAAAGTTTGATGGGTCTTCCACTACACCTTCTCCCTAGGTAATCTTCCTCATTTTAAATATATCCAGGCGATTCCAAAACATGTACCTTCCATCTCATCTTTTTCCTCTGACAGCCCATCTTCTATAACACCTAATCTAGAAGTCATCCTTGCTTCTTCTCTCTACTTTTTCTCCAAATAGAGCCCATTACTAAGTTCTACTCATTCGCACTCCGAAGACTGAGCCCATCCGCATCTATCACTGCTACCACAAACACAGTGCAAGCCTCCTACATAGCCACACTAGTCTTTAAGTCCTCACTATCCCTTCTTCTTCCCAGCAACCAAATCGCAGGCCTTATTAATCTTTACAACAACCCTATAAAATTACTATTATTATTCTCATTTTTAAATCAGAAAAATTAAACCAAAAATTTGATGTGCATTTTTCTAATGGCCCAAGATGGCAAACATTTTCTCATGTACTTACTAGCCATTTGTACTTCTTCTTTTGAGGAGTGTCTATTCATTCCAACTGCCCATTTATTGATTGGGTCCTTTATTTTTGTGGTCTAATTTTTTTTTACTTCTCTATATACCTATGTATTCTACATATTAGTTCTCTGTCTGAAGAGTAGCTAGCAAAAAACATTTCCCATTCTGTACTCTGTTGGTTGTTTACTGCACGGAAGTTTTCAAATCTGATTTCAAATCCCATTTGTTGATTCTTAGGGTATTAATATTTATCCAATTGGGGTTCTGTACAGAAAGTCCTTGCCTATGCCTATGTCTTCAAGAGTTTCACCAATTTTATCTTCCAGCTTACTTTAATAAAATAAGGCTATCATCAAGGATTCAAAATAAATGCTGGCAAGTTTGTAGAGAAACAGAAACCTTTCTACATTGTTGGTGGGAATGTAAACTAGTACAACCACTGTGGAAATCAGTATGGAGATTTCTCAAAAAGCTAAAAGCAGAAATTGCATTTGACTCAGTGGTTACTTTCCTAAGAGAGTTAAAGTCGTCATATTACAGTAATATGTTTACAGCAGCACAACTGACAGTGGCTTAAATTACAGAAGTGGCTTATATGCTCATCAACAAATGAATGAAGAAAATGTGGTATGTATACACAAAGGAGTACTACTTAGCCATAAAGAAGGATAAAGTTGAGGAATTTGTAGGAAAATGGATATATCTTGAGACCATAATGCTAACTGAAATAAACCACAGAAGACTAAATAGCACATGATTTCTCTTCTATAAGCTCAAACTATGAACAATCTAAACAGTAAAATAAGAGATTATAGGAAACAAGGAAGTAGACTTGTGGAGATGGGAAGCGGGTATGGGAAAGGGCTAGAGAGGAGGGCAGGATGGGGAGTACAACTGACCAAGAAGCAGTATGTGTACGTATTAATACACCAAGAGGATTATGTAATTATGTATTACAAATATACAGTAAAAAGAAATTTAAAATTTTATGTTGCTTTCATAAATCAAAAAATTAATGTGCAGCACAATCTAAAGTGTAACTTCTTAATCATCAAACAATATGGATATTCTCTTTCACAATTGAAGTTAGTCTTAGAATAGACTAAATCCTTTTCTATCCAGTTTCTGATACATTTCTCAGGCACAGAACAAAATTTCAATAATTACATATAATATCCTACAACAAATTTGTTTCTTTCTCCATACTGATCCATACCATGAGCCTACTCTTTCTAATCCATTTCTGTTTCTTGATTACATCTACCACATAGGTTTTCATACATACTTAATCAGAAAAGCTTTCATACATAGTTAATCACATGCCAGGTTTCCCTTGGCCAAAAATGTTCTTTTACACACTCTGTTGTTACCAATGTATGTGTGGGTTTAATGTGAATTACTTGTCAACATTTAAAAATAAAGATATAGTAGACAAAAACAAAAAAATCTGGGTCCATGACTAGACAAGGAGTTCTGGTAACATCGGCAGGAATGAGGTAGCACCACCTACTATGTTCAGACATGCGTTATCTAGTTCCCCACCTATGACTATTGTTTTATACTGAGTTAAATCTTTTCATGTGCGTTTTTCTTTTGGCCTTATTATACACAATTAAATGTTTTCTGCTTGTACTATTCTATGCATTTTAAATAACAGGTTACATTTTGAGGTTCTTTTTGTTGTACTATTTGTACCACTTTTCCGTTCCTAATGAATTAAATATCGATTATGTGCAACACACGAGTGACTCTCCTTCCGTGACATGATGCACATTCTGCACTGAATATTTAATGCCCAAGGGTAAAAGACTTAATTTTTCTATAATATCATGTTACTACCATCAAATACCCACCACTTGGCCCTTCTCTTTTAATTATACAAATGATCAACTCTAGACTTCCACTACTTTTACTCTAGAAAAAATAGAAATTAAGTCACTTTTAAAATGCTGCTTTCTCTTCCAATTCTGGCTTGCTGCAGGGGAAATGCAGCTTACCACTACAAGTCCTGTTGTCAGCATTCAGTGAGTAGTGGGCAGGGCATCCACAAACAAAACCTCCAACCGGCACTGCCAGGCAGAGGTGGGAGCAGTGCCCGTTGCTGGAAGCACACTCGTTCCACCCTGCCTGCCGTGAGGAGTGGAAGACAAGGATGTCCATCACGTAGTCCAAATGGCCCTGAATGATGGTGCGGTTCTGGCCGCTGGTTTTGTTGGCTCGCTCAATGCTGCGTCGGCTCCAGTCAGTCCAGTAGATGTAATCTTGGTATTGAGTTAAGCCAAAAGGATGGGGCAGGTCATCTGCTATAACTTCACGGTTGAGTCCTGTTTTCAGAAAGGCAGTAGACAAGCGAGAAACAGAGATGAAATATATGAAAACACAAGTATCTTATTGGCCAAAAACTTTGTAACATATAAAACATTACATTTCTGAGCAATTTAAAATAGAACAATTCATTTAAAACCAATTCTAAAACCAGACCAGTCCTCTGAAATCGATCTAGCTGCAGTCTGGCCCTGTGCGCTTCAAACTCATATTCTTCTTATAAATCACTGAGTTTGTTTAAATGCCTGAGAATGGTCTACTTTGATTGTGGTTTTATTTTCTCTACAGAAGGGCCTACAGTTCAATATTTCTTCTTCCTTCCACAATTTCTTTTAATAAAAAAAAAATCACTTCAGGAATATCTAGGGAATTATAAATATCATTACAAACCCAACAAAAATGAAATTTTTGCATAATGAAGTGGTATGAATCCAAGTAACTGAACAGCTATTACTAATAATATAAATGATATAATTCCAAAACAGGGAAAGAAACTAGACATTCACAGTTTCATTAATAGTATCTAACCCATGATAAATAGCCACCACTAGTTTTTGTATAAAAAATATACTATCTGAATAAAAAAAGAGTAAAGCTTACCAAGCATATTTGAGGATTCTATTAAGTTGGTGTCCAAGTCTGTCCAATAAAGCCTCCTTTTAGCATAATCAATAGTCAGGCCATTTGCCCGCCCTACATTTGGAACCAGTGTAGTACGCTCACTTCCATCCATAGCTGCTCTGTCTATCTTGGGTTTTCCACCCCATTCAGTCCAATACATAAATCTAAATTCAAAACAATGGATATTTAACATTTCACTTTTGGTTTTCTGGGGAAAAGGGTTGTATTCATTCATAGTATAAACTGTATTTATTTAAACTAAATAAATTTAAAGAAAATACATAGTAAATCAAGCAAATGGTTAAAACAAAATCATGGTCACAATTTTTTCAATTATCTTGACACTTTCAACTAAATATATTTTCTCACATCTCAAATAGAAAGTAAGTCAATTTTCTTTAGTTTTTCCAATGAATTTGCTCCATCCAAACCCAAGATCTGGAAACAAACCAATGGTTTCTTTATTGCAGAACTGCCATTTGTAAAACTAATCTTCATGTAAACAGCAAAGGATTAAAGCTCTGGTCTAAGAATCTCTTAGGCTCTTCTGACTAAAATATCTTTATGTGCTTTGGAATACCAGCAATTTTTACTTTTAAAATGCTGAACTTACTTTTTAACTTGTGTAACCAACACTTCTCAAAAACAAAACGAAGGAGTATATTAAATGTAAAACTAAACAGTGAGCCTTTAAAAGGCCAAAGATGAGAACAAAGCTTGAAAGGTGTCTGGACATAGGGTCCAGGGGAATGTACTGCTGGAATTAGAACAATGAATCACCCTGAGGGGTCAATGGATCAATGAGCACTTCTACTACGAGCCCTCTGAGCTTTTAAAATATTCTCTTAGTTTTACTTTACTTTGCTGAATCATTCCCTTTACTCTTAGAGCTACCCAACTGCTTTTTACAGATGGAAAAACCGAAACACTAAAACAAATTTATTTGTCTCATGTTTCCAAGCCAGTTACATGGCAGAGCTAGAACTAGAGCCTAATCCTTAGCCAACGCCTTTCCAAATGAACTAATAAGGCACTAACTTTCAAGGCTGAATCCTGGTTCTCAGAAAGCACTCCACACGCCAGCTCCAGTAAAATACCTACCTGAGGACAGACCTTTACATATCAGCCTGCCCAAGGGTGACCTGGTAGCAATGTATGAACATGCTCTCTTGGAAATTAAAGTTCTTCGAGGCTTTATTTGCATTTGTACTCGTCAGTTGACAAGCACACACACACAAGAGCCAAAGACAAACAACTGTGGGAGAAATTTTATACTTGCTAGCAGCAATCTATACTAGAATCCTTAGTCCAACTACTAAATTTATCTGACAACTAATTCTCAGAGCAAAGATCACCATAATCCCACGACAAGGTATCAGCACAGAGAAGCCGTCTTTGTCATGGCTTTTGAATTAGATGACAACTAGCTAAGTATGGAATTAATCTGGTGATTTTAGGGAAAACTTTTTAATTACAGTTGTGGCAAATTTATTTACACTTAACTTCTTTTAAAAGTAGAATTTTTCTTCAAATTTCAGATGCCAGGGGCCGGGGAATTAGCTCAGTGGTTTGGCCGCCTGCTGTGTAAGCGCAAGGACCCAAGTTCAATTCCCGGTACCAACCCCCCCCCCAAAAAAAACCCCAAAATACCTCAAATTTCAGATGCCTTAGCTGCTTCCTTATATAAAACATGCTGATTATTGTAAGACCACCTCACCTTTACAAAATGTGTCATGCTGCAAACAGTTCTATCTCATAATCCAAAGTTTCTCCACATTTATAATAATGATCAAACTAACTGTCCACCTTGAATTAATGGATATTTTAAAATGGAGCTTTATGCGCAAGGGTCTGGAGGCTCAATCCTCAGCCTTCCCAAATAAATAAATGAATATACTGATAAATTAATTAAAACTAAAATGAGAGCTTTTAAAAATGTACAGCAGGGGCCGGGGATTTAGCTCAGTGGTTCCGCTGCCTGCCTCACAACCACAAGGTCCCAAGTTTGATTCCACCCCCCCTCCAGTAAGAAAGAAAAGAAAAGAGAGAGAGAGAGACAGACAGACAGACAGAGAGAGAGAGACCAACAGCAGTCTCCTCTTATCCACGGAGGATGCATTCCAAGACCCTCAGTAGATGCCCAATAAAAGTATCATATCCTATAGTTTTTTCCTATAAATATCTGTGCTAAAGTTAAATTTATAGATTTGGCCCAGTAATAGATTAACAACTAAAAATAGAAAAAACATAATATACTAAAATAAGTTATTTAAAATTTATGAAATCGATTTCTGGAAATGTTTAATATTTTTAGACCATAGGTAACTGAAATTGTGGAGTGAAACTGTGGCTGAGGGGGGACTGGTATATTTTTAGCACACAACATTATTTCAGTGAGTTTATTACAACAGATTTGGAACTTAGTATAACTTGGGAGGATGCAGCAAACACAGGGTGATGGTACCTTTTAAAAGTGTTCATGTGTTTGCCTAGCATGGGCAAGGCCGCTAGTTCAATCCCTACTATTGCCAAAACAGACACAAAATGGCTGTTCACTTAATATATAAATGCTAATCAGTAATATTTGATTATGAATCCATTTCAGTCTGTACCTAGTGTTAATAATAACAGAAATAAAATTTAGCTAGCCAGGCTTAGTGGTACACGCCTGTAATCCCAGAACTATAGAGAGACTGCCAAATTCAAGGCCAGTCTGAACTATATAGTAAGACCTTGTCTCATAAAAAGAGGGGGGGTGGGGGGGGTGAATAAAATTTACCTAATAATGAATATTAATCCATGAAATCTAAAATAATCTTTTTAAAAAACCTATTATTTGTCAGATTATTTATAAGCATCATTTAAGATATCAAGAATATAATCTATAACCAGGCCATGTTCCTCAAAACGTACAATGGAGTTCCAAAGAATGCATACATAAAGGTATTTACCCTTCAGCGGGGTCCAAAGCTAGAGCTCTGGGGCTGTCCAGATCTTTCCAAACCAAAACTTGTCGGTGCTGTCCATCCAACTTTGACACTTCGATTCGATTTGTTCCGGTGTCAGCCCAGTATAAGTTCTTCCCAAGCCAGTCCACTGCCATGCCTTCTGGGTAATCCAAGCCAAATTCTACCACATGTTCCAGCGCGCTGCCATTCATGAAGGCTCTGCTGATGGTCTGCAAAAATAAAATTCACAACTAAGTCACATGACTTATGTGTAAAATACTAAGCACAAAGAAGGTCTGGTCTGGTTTTTGCTGAAGGTAAAAAGATGTGAAAGTGCCAAGAAACATACTATTTCCTAATAAAATTTAGAGTTTACGGGGCCAGGGATTTAGCTCAGTGGTTCCGGTGCCTGCCTTGCAAGGGCAAGATCCCAAGTTCGATCCCTAGTACCAAAAAAAAAAAATTTAGAGTTTACAACCACAGAAAAATTTGATGTCAACCTCTAATTAATACAACTGTTCTACTGCCACTTCAGAGAGGAAAATTTGAAACTCTTAAGAACCAAAAGTTTATTCTATTAAGACAGTGGACAGAAATTTTAAAAAATTTATTAGTAATCAAATGAAAAAGATATAACCAGAACGCTGTAGACTCTTGACGTGTAGCCAACTTTGAAGATGTCTGATGAGAATGCCAAGTCACTGCGTAAAATGAGAAGATCTCAACATCATACTTTATAAAATCAATATAACTATGTTCTATTACAACTGTAGCTTTAAATTCCATAAAAATCTAAAATATCGTAAGTCAAGATAATAATAACAGGTGCCACTTGTCAAGTACTGTCCCAAGAAATCTGTGTCCAGAGATTTTCCCATTTAGTACGACAGCAAGGTAGGCATTATCTCTATTTTAAGATGAGTAAATTTAGAAAACCATCCAATAAAAGCCAAGATTTATTTATTTCATTTATTTACTCAAAAGATTTTACTAAACATCATCAGAATCCAACAATACCTGGCTCTAACATCCCATGTTTTTCACAAGCTAGACCAAAGTTAACACAACTTATCCGAACAAACCTACAACCATCTGGAAGAAGGAAAGACTTCCCCAGATTTCTGGTCAGGAATTTCTCTTTCTATCCCAATATACTTCTCAACACTCACTCTAGGAAAAAGAAAATAAAGGGGAGCTATAACTCATAATTGGCACTTCTGACTTCAGTCAGTCTTCAAAAGTTTAAGATATTTTGAGGCAAGCCTCCATAAGCCACTTTATGTGACACTTACAATGTTTACTTGGCCAGCTAAAGAAAATGCCATTTGTCACCTTCAAACGCAATGAAATTGGGAAAGAGTGTATCATGCAGATTTAGAGCACTTTAGCAAAGTATCTTTTATAAAAAGGCACCTTACAAAACACTGCAAGGGCCTCCCCCTTCACGTCCCTTAAAAACATAAGGGCTTTTGTTAGACTCTGCTATCAAGTGATTAGGGAGGTGGGTCATAGCACAAAGATACAGAAATTCAAGTTCTCCTTTTTAAAAAATTCCCCAGTTTTAATACTCCAATTCTTTTGCTAACCTTGAGTGATATATCAGTCCAATAAATTCGATTGTCTGTCACATCAAAATCCAAAGCAGAAGCTTCTTTGACACCAGTCAGTGGAATGGCCACATTATTATTGTTTGTTTCCAAAGAAATTCGTCTTATATCTGCTCTCCGTGAAAACAAAAGGAAAGCCTCAGGGACAATGCAGGTCTTCATGTCACTAATGAGTTCAAAGCCAATGGGGCAGGCACAGCGAAGGCCCTGAGGTCTATAGAGGCAAAGATGACTACAACCCCCATTCTCCTCAGCACAAGGGTTGGAACCTAAAAGATAAATTAGTTTATAAAAGGGCACAGAAGGACACACACACATTGATATAATCAGCACATTTTCACTTTTAAATTGGTACACAATGGTTCACAAAGGCCTATGATTATACTGCTCCCAGTCTAGTGTCTAAATTCTACTCCCACAAACAAGCAATATGAGAATGAATAGGGAACAAAAGTATGGCAAGATACTTTCCTTCACACACAGTCAGCTTTACAATAAAGTGCATTATTCATACAACAGGACTGAATTCTTCTGACAAAGGTATGCAAGTGGCCTGTGCATGTATAGCCAAACTTCATAGCCAGAATAGTAAGCCATGTAAAAAGTTAAAGATAATTTCTGTATTATTTCAAACATCAATAATTTATATTGCTGCTTTACAAGCAGTTGGTTCTCAGTATTTTTTCTCGGTCTTGGTTTCCATTTCTAAGAGATCTGAGAATTTCTTACCAATGATTCGATGAACATTTGTGGCCTTTAGCCCCATGAGGTCAGGCAGCTGATCTATGATGATTTCCCTCTCTGCACTTCGCTTATGCACTCTTTCGATGCTGCGCCTCTGCCAGTCAGTCCAGTAAACATAGTTACCCAACAAAGTAAACCCAAATATGTGAGGGATTTTGTCTTCCACTAGTACTCGTCTTCCAGTGCCATCAGTATTCATAACCTTCAAGTTTAAATTTGAAGAGAAGGCAGAAGATGAGGTAGGTATTTATCCTTCAAATATTTAATAATGACAAACCCAACTGCCTATAGCATCAAAATTCAAGAATCATCTTAGTTATTACTACTACAATTCTTTCACAAAATTGCAAAACAATGACTTAGAGAATTTCAAATATATGACATAAGCTTGAATTTTACCTCTTTTTCTTATTACTCTTCCTTCTAAAAAACCTGGTAACTGTAGATTTGGTATGGAACTCTCCTATTAAATGACTATCAAAATTTAAACTATGATCACCTTAAGTCTGGGCATTTGTTCTAAAATGATAATGTACCTTAATACATGTTACTTTATCACATGTTTTCTTTTACAACTTATTTTATTTCATCCTGAGTTTTGCCTTTTTCATACGTAAAGAAACTGAGATTCACATGAAGTCATACAGCTTATATTATAAACACAGTTGATGTCTTTTAGGTTCTTTCCATTTAGCATGTTTTCTATTTTACTATTATTATTCAAACAACAACCACTGCCAAAAAAAAGATGAACAGACAAAAGAAGTCTCAATAAATCTATCACTCCCTGAGGTTATTATCACAAAAGTATCTAGAGTTTCAGAAACAAGGATGCACCCACTTTAATTACCTAACAGCAGTATTATTTTCTGGCAAGTACTAATCTTTTGTTTTGAAAGATGGAGTAAGTCTTCCAAAGTACCAACATTCAAGTTCCCAACTGAAACTATTTCTACCAGTTAAAATGGTATGTGTGGGCTGGGGATTTAGATCAGTGGTTCCGGTGCCTGCCTCGCAAGCATAAGTTCCTGAGTTCGATCCCTGGTACCAAAAAAAAAAAAAAAAAGGTACGCGTGCTAGGGTAATTAGCCTTTGTAAATGTTATCCTGATACTAAAAACACGTACCTATGAACAATATCCGTACCCTCTGCAGCCCTCTTAAAAATATCAGATATAATATTACATGCAAGTATTAACTTTTATCCATAAAATAGGTAAGAAATATTCCAAATAAATCAATACTGTGGTTGTCTAGGTGGACAATCAGATATTTTCCAAAAGTCAAAAACAATTAAAACAAAAACTAAACATTACTCCCATGTCTGATATGAAATACTTTTTAAAGCTAGTAACTTAATTTGAAAAACAAGTTTAAATATATTCAAATTTTCTTGCAATAGACCATTTCTGGGTATATCTTATAATGTATATGTTATATTTTTAAATTACTTTTATTCAAATACTAAAACAGTTCTTAAGAACAGAAGGACTAACCGAGGAGTCAATTATTTATGTATATAACTAGAATGTCAACTCTAGAATACCAGGAATCTCAAATTCATTCCACAGTTTCTGTAAAGAATTCAATAAAGGCTTAAGTGATTTTCAATGAAGATGAAACAATAAAACAACTGCATCATATATATGGCAAAGAAAGAGACTGTCTCCCATTTCTGTACCTAATTTTTAAACATCTTTTGGGGGTCTCTTTACACCTTAACTGTTCAAAATGTTTACCTTAAAACTTTGGTCTTTCAGAGTACTAGTTAAAGAGTGTTGCATATCTGTAGAAAAACTACTTACCGGAGTATAAAACTAGAGAACATGTCGTCACATACAGAAAAAAAAAATAACTGATTAAGAGAAAAAGAAAACAAAATTTAGATAATTACTGTGATAGCAATCAGCTCTGTACAAAAGTCCCCACTCCAGCTCTTCTAGTTTATCAAAGCTCTTACAGCAGTATCTATAATTGTATACAAAGGTTTTGAATTCACATTTTTAAAATTTACAATTTAAAATGTCAATGACCTGAAGTGGGATCCTGAGCTTCACCAGAAATTTCAGTGATACCAGGATTCCTAAGAAACCTTTCTAAATATAGAAAGGAAATTTTATTTACATAATGTTCTTAACCTTGGATCCTACAGCCTTGCTACTTAAATCCATGAAAATTGTTCTTGCCCACATTTTAAATCCATGTAAAGACAATGCTATACAACCTACACACTTTTGAAGAATGTGCACATCCCTGATCTCTCCTAAAAGCAGAGTTCCTAGAAAGAATTTCTGGCCCGATTCTATTACTTCTTAGAAATTGTGATCCAGGTGAAAAATCTATCCTTTGTTAGATATCCAATTCAGAAAATTATTTTAGGTAGGGAAAGCTGTCTTTAAAATTCTGTACTTTTGCCTCCATTCTTGCAAGATTATCCTTTGACTTTAGTACTTTTCCCTGATCTTCCTTTCAAGAACTTCCCAAAACTTCCTCTGGAAGAAGAGCTTCAATTCCCCCTTTCCACAGGGTCCCTTCCTTTCTGCCTTTAGCATAACACATTTCCTCACCTTAAACAATGTGTAAAAACAACAATTCTATACTTCCTCTTATTTATTCCCCCCTTATTTTATTGCCATGTTTTAAAAATATGAACTATAACTGCCTTCACCTTAAACTCTCTGCAACTTGGTTCCAATCTATAACTCCATGACATAACTACTGAAATACCCAATGACTACTTTCTTTTCTTAGTCCTATGCTCTTTTCCCTCTTTATGACATTCAGTGCTCTTCAGCACGCAATGAAACTTTTCACTGAGCTTCCACAGCATAATATGACCTTACTTCTTTTTCTATGGCCAGCACTTTTTTTTACCTCTTCATTCACTGGTTACTTTTTCCTTTTTCAAATTCCAGCTGTATATACTTTTCAAAATTTCCTGCATTTTTCTCTATTTGTGAAACACCTTTCAAAAAGTCTATCAGGTTCTATGGCTTTAGCAATCACTTTATAAAGAAAAATGGCAAATCTCTAAGTTTAAAGGTCTGGTCAGGTTCTATTGCAGCATTCCACCTGCAGCTCCTGGAAAAATGTATAGCTACCTCACATAAATGTCATATATTTAACAGTGAACTACGTTTTCCAGTAGGGGGAGTTCATTGTCCTAACAAGGGTGCACCCAACACAGAGTGCCAGTCTGTATTATAAGACTCTAAATAGTACTTTTTTACAAGTTTATGGTATATTAAAACAAGTTTGATTTAACTGTATTGCTAGTTTTAGTGCTATCTTAAATCGATTATTCTTCATTATTTTATAACTAATAAACTTTACACTGACTTTGCTGATCACTATGTTCAAATGTTTGCCATATTAAAACTTAATTGCTGGCCTAAAAGTGCAAGCCACATACCTAATATTGAACTCCTTTTGAAAAATAATATTTCTACTTCAAAAACATTATAGGTTCGGCCCAGGGATTTAGCTCAGTGGTTCCACTGCCTGCCTCACAAGCGCAAGGTCCTGAGTTCGATCCCCGGTACCCAAAAAAACAAAACAAAATAGTACAGGTTTCACCTATTCTTCTCTCAGCTCCCTCTTGCTGCAACACTGTTGTTTTGATAAAAAGGCAGCTTAAACAAAAGACAGATGTTTCAGTATGAATTTGCATAATGGGCTAGATATGCATCCCACACATATCCTAATAAAATAAATTTGTATTTCAGAAAACTAAAAAAGAATGGAATTGAAGAATTCATGAGAAAAATAACAAAAACCACAAACTTAAAGGAGCTTTTCAGTTCATATAATTCTGCATCTATAAAGCAGTTACGCATCACTCCTCTGCTCTCTAAACATCAGCAGCAAATAATATTATAGCAGAAATAGATTTAGATTTCACTCACAGGCTGTACTGTTATTGGGTAATCACATGCCAAATAGGAAGAGAGCCAATACCCTCACTGAATTATTTAAGGATTAAATAAAATACTGCTAAATATTTAGAACACCAGATATACAACAGGCGCTAGATAAATGCTGATTTCTGCTGGTCTAAAACTATTTTATTAAAATGCTATTTAATAAACTTATTAATAAATTTATTACAATGCAGTACTTTAAAATAAAACACAACATTTAAATATAAAAGAGTACATGGAAATAAAAGACCAAACCAACCACACACTGTTAAAGAATAAAACCACTATAGCGTTTTCTACATCTTGGCAGTCAGTGAACAACCACAGGCCTGCATCTCTATTCTCAATTTCTAACCCCATTTGTATTGTCTGCTTTTGCTATGTAGACACAAAATAACTATAACAATAAACAAAAAAGAGCAGTGTGACAATCTGATTTCAGTACACTTCTGCTGCTCTAGCAGACACCAACCCTATTTCCTTTAAATGAAACATTAGTAAACCTATCTAAAAATTCCAAATCACCATGAGACATGATGAATGCTAAGAATTTAGAACAGGGCTTCTTCCAGCTAAGGGATAAATAACAATGTAGTCAGGAAGGTAAACAATATTCATATTAAAACCATAAAAATACACTCCTCCCTGGGCCACAGACAGTCAGGAAAAACCTCAAGAAGTAGTAGCAGAAATTCCTGAAGAATTAGAATTTTGACAAAGAGAAAAAGGGTTTCCAGAATAAAAATAACACGTGTTAAAGGCACAGAGTCAAGGGTGTAAACAGTATCTTTCACTGATGATGAAAGAAATGCTTTGAAGAAGGCTGAAAGACAGGGACTCAACCAAGACATCAGATAAATCCCCACCTGCAGCAGGTATTACATTCTAGGGTAAGGGGCTAGGAGTGTAGCTCAGTGGTGCAGGATCTGTCTAGCATACATGAGTCTCTGGGTTAGATCCTCAGCTTCAACAAAAAGAAAAGACAATTTTTCCCCCGGGAAAAAAGAAAATTTCAGAAAACAAGAGGCTTCTGAAATCCTTTTAAGGAGAATGATGCAACAAAACTATTTCAGGAACACTACCTTTGTCGTCATGTTTAGATTGTGCTAGCGATAAATACCATTTCTGTGAGACTGGTAACAAAGGTCAGAAATCCGTTATCTGAAAGCCTGCGGGCAGCTCTATTTCAGAACTCAGATGATTTTAGAAATTCAGAAAGGTCAGCACAGCATGCATGGCATAACACCTTTACTGAATCCAGGGCAGCACTTCACTGCCAAATA